AGTAAACATGCTAAGTTAATAATTATGATAAGCAATGGTGTCTCTTTAAAAATTGTAAATTGTGAATTTCATGGCCTCTGGTTTAAAACACGAATCAAATTTAATTGTTTGAAAGTTGTTACACAATACTCAGGTGACCTATAAGGCCCGTGGGCCTCTTGTCATTAAATTGAATTCTGTTATATTTTAAATAAATTTTATAAAATTTACTTTGTGACAATCATTCCCCTCTCCGAGTAAGACTCTGTCCCAGAGTCTACAAATCAAAAAAAGTGAATGATATATATGTAAAATTAGATATGCCTTTAAAATTATTTGAAAGTACAAATCATTGCAGTTTAAGGTCACTGATAGTTCAAACTTAAATCAATATCCATAAAAGGGGGCATTATAGTCTGTCGGTATGGAAGACTGTTGGGGGCAGGATGCAAAGCGCTGTTGTTGTGAAGGTTGATGCACTACACGAGGATACGATGATGCAGGGTAGTTAGGACTCGTAGAATTCCGTTGTTTTTTTATGGCGTCGGGCTTGCCCGATCGTCATCTAGCGATCAGTCAGGTTTACGCGACCGCACGTGTCAGTGGATGCATCCGCAATAGAAAATAGCAACAGCTGTAAACCAATTTCTTTTAAAACGTTCACAATGAATAATAGCTTGAATATAAAATTAAATCAATTGTATCTTCAATTAATACTACTACAAAACAACGATATTATGTTTAATTTTTATGCAAGAAAAACGTTATGGTTGTTGCGGATGAATTTCTACTGAGAGGGTGCGTCGAATGACATGAATCACATTTTGGGACCGATTACTGTAATACAAACAATCTTAAATACGGTAAAATAATTACAAAATAAACACGAATACAACAAGACTATAAAGATTGAATTTCTTAATCTTAGCTTTACTTTAACGATCTTCAATCCAATTTTAGCCGAACAACCGACGATATTGACCAGTAATGCCAGTATTACTGTATTTATCCATTTCCTCCATTTGTTTACCGCGCCTTATCGTAAGTCGATCGTACTTGTAACATTAGAGTCATGGTTGTAGTTAAGATGCAATCACTTTACAACAGAACAACACTCTGACAATGGCAATTAATTAAAATAATTTATGAAACCCTTCATATGTCTTCGATTGACTGAAAAGAAATTAGATTGATATAGAGGATGGACATTTCTGACGATATCTGGTCAAATCGAACCCTGACTCATTCGGACCAGGACACAAGGCTATAAGGCCCTATACTGTATTTGTGTTAAGACTTTTTTTAAAAATTTTATTATTATGTTACCGGAGTCACTTACTTGACCTATTTGCAGATCTTTTGAAATTGTTTTTCTTGTTCGACGCCATTGAAGCCTTTCAGGCTTTTGATTTTTATTTTGCTTCGGTCTTCTGTTCTTTGTGGACTGATTAGCTTCCACGTGGCTAGGATGACCTAGAGGGTACCAAGCTTTTCCTGTCCTGTGCATTTCCATAGCAGGCATTTGTGTGGATGCGTCGCTGACGTCCCTGGCACTACAAGTATCCGTGTTGGTACCAACACTTTTCTTCTGTATAGGAACCGGAACACAGAAAACCGGTGCCACTAACCTTATAAAACTTAACTGGCGTTCCTTTGCTACCAGTTGATCTGAAATGGACTGCAGGGCTTCCCTCGGTTCATAATTTTCTGTGTCCATTCTTCCAATTTTCTTTTCTAGGGCTTTGTTTTTCGTACCCGCGTCTGTGAGTTTGTCTTCCAGGTTTGTAACGTGCAATTTCTTTCTCTCCTTCTCGTCCTTATTATTTTTTCCACGCAGCTAGCTGAGAGTTGTCATCTAGGGAAAGAAGATGTTCTTGCTGTGTATCAATTGTTTTCTTGAAATTCTGCATTTTATCTTTTAATAAAGCGCTCTTGTGATGTTGGTTAACTGAAGACTTTGTGGATAGAGAATTTATCGCAATTACAAACTATTTCTGAGATTCGATGCTGTAAAACGGTAATTCCATCGCGCACTTACGTTGTGAATTAAATTCATTTCTGAATGAATGAAATTCTATTACATTTCAAATAAATTTTGTAAAATTTATTTTGTGACAATCAGCTACCTGCAGATCTGTAGCTCGCTAGCTGGTCTGAAAAAACCGGGATTTATCACCAGAGAGCTCCAGTGCCACCCGTATATTAAAAAGTATATATCAATTGCGTACAAAAAAAAATTGCGCTTGGTTCTGGATTTATTTATCCGAATTCTTAACTCAACTGCACAAAAGATGTATTTCAAAATGTTCCTTGAATCCTTGAATTAAGGTTATTTAGGCTAAGATGTTTTGTCTGGATGCATGATTTGAAAAAAACATGTGTGAATTTGTCAATACAGTAGCACACAAATGGGATATGCTCATCACCAGCGTGTGTCATGGTGTGACGCAAGGTCATTTTGAAGGTCAAGGTCGCAAACATTCCTTTACTATCCTTTTTATAATAGTAAAACATAATAAGATGCTATCTACCCTTAAAAGATTGCTTTAACATTAGAACGTTGCATGACCTTGACTCAAGGTCATTTCTCCCTGTATGCAGCTCCGACGGAAGACCTACTCGTTGCTTTGCATTGAGCTCGGCTCTAGTTGCAGTTTCCATTCCTTTCTTTGCAGAGGTTGCACATATTGAAATGAAATTTAGTATATAGATTTTTCAGCTGAATATCTAGGTCAAGAAATGTTTTGGGTAGGATCACAGCATTTTAGACAGAGTTATGCCCTTTTGGACTTAAAAAAATTCCAATTTGGGGGGAGGGGGGCATAAGTGTTTTACAAACATCTCTTGTTGAAATACTGAGAAACAGCTGGAAATGTTTAGGATTTAAGCAAATGTGAATAATGATGCAATTCATGACTTGATAATACTGTAAAACGAAAATATTTGGCGCACTACTAATTTTGGCGCCTTTGGCGCAAGAGCCCCATAGCGCTAAAATTAATTGTGCGCTAAAGGATTTCTAAATATCATTTTTTGTGTGTGTTAAAAGCTTTTACTTAAGGTAGGTTTCTTCTCTGGTTTTTGACTAGATGAAACATTCAAAGTATATTTGCTTATATGTCTTATATATTGAGGTGTAAGGAATTTAAAAGACCATATTTTTCTTTCCTCATCACAATTGTACAACTTTAAATAGAAATGGTAAACTGCGTTTGAAAACTAGCAGGGACTATATTTTTGGCGGAATGGTGGCGTATGAAAATATCTTCTTTTCTGCCTCTCAAAATTATAATAGAACACAATCGAAGACTTCGAGAAATTTTCAAATGTAAGTTAAATTAATAATGAGGGACTAAACTTTCAAAATATATCACACAAATATGATTTTTCAAACAAACTAGAACTTTGTTAGCTTTTAAACGCTTCCTACCAAAGAGCAAATTTGAGCCAAAAATCCATAAAAAGAATTTTTTCTCTCTTAGTTAATTATCAAAACTTTTTGTTTTTGTATCATTTTGTACATTTATAAGACTACTTTATTATATATGAAAATAAGAAAAAGTTAGATATAGGAAGCATATGAAAATAACTAATATATCCTAAAAAATTAAGAAAAACAGAGAAAATTCGGATTAGCCGATATCCAGTTTAGTTAAATTATTTATGTAAATTTGGTAATATCATGCTATAGACCCGATACAGTAATATGTTTTTATGCAAAACGAACTCTCTTTAAACTTTTGAAATAGAAGTAGGTATCACATGATTGGCAACAGTAATTTTTTATTCTTAATGTCAAGGGAAAAGATAATGACCTTGACCTGACCTTGCCTCTAACATAAAACGGTCAAATTTAATTTCACTGATACTATCACTTACTGATATTGTCTTCTTGATTCTGTGAAAATTTCATTAATTTTTAAATATTAGGCCATCCTTAAAAAATTGTTTTTTTGCAGTAACGCGACCGACTCACCAAAATCCACCCTACTGGATTTTTTTTTTACCAGTTCAAAAATCTTTTTTTTTTTTTTTACGTATCCGTTTTCCATTTTTATCCAATATATTTTTTTACATCTCCATTGCACCTATGCCGTTTTTAAAAAAGAACTGATGTGTTCTGAATTCTGAGCAATAAAAGATTGAATTCATTTAGAATGCTTTAATTTTCTTGTTTGATTAGTAAGGTGAAATCTAAGTCAAAGTTAATACCTCTATATATTCGAAATTTATTTCTGACATTTTGTCTCCAAAAAAAAAAAAAGCCTACCTACCTACTCATACCTTAAATGATGAGGCGCGTTACCGCAAAAATAATTTTTTTTAAGGATGGCCTTAGAAATATGAGAAGAATCCTACCTTAAGTACATGTAAACCGGAATGCTCGATTACCTAATGTCGAAGGGTCATTGGATTTATCATACACACACTATAGCACTGCACATGTTCGGAAGACAGAAAGTTCTGCCAAATTATAATTTAATTAAACTATTGTTACCCTGGTAGTTGTTACCCGATTATTTTCATTAGCACTGTCAAAGTTTGGCTTCATGGTGTGTCAATCATCTATCACCTCGAGGTAAACAATGCAATCAAGCATGGCGATTGAGCTTGCAGACAATACCTGATTAGGATTACCGTTTTATCTAAGTAATTTTCTGTCGATGCATGCATGGTTTTAATGTAATTTAAATGAGTAAATATTCCATTTCTTTTAATTGAAAAATGGAAATAAATTTTAACATTGTACCACGTCCATGTGATAGCAACATGTACTGCGGTAAAGGTAACGAATCTTTACTGATATACGGGAGTACTAATGTGTTTCCGTGCTTGACTAACCAAAAAGTCAATTATGGGTGTGGATAAAAAAAAAAAATATCACATTTAAATATTTTACTGACAAGTGCAAGCGCTAAAATTTATTTGCCCCAATGGATTCCCACTTACGTTTGCGCTAAAATACGTATGCGCCAAATTTTCTCGTTTTACAGTATTTAAATCCTTTTTTTTATTTTCAGAGGTGGAAAAGAAGATATTTTAAATTGAAAGGAAGAAAACTTTATTACGCCAAAGACACCAAGGTAAACACAAACTCTTAGATGTTTTAGTTCTGTAGTCAGTCATTTTATTTTAGACAAGTGTAAATACCTATTTTTGCTGCATATTTTACATAGAACTTCATCCTTGCATCTTCATAGCCCACAGTTATATACCAGAACAGCCTTCCCTGTATTGTTTTAAGGTAGTCTAATCTTCAGATTCCAAAAATCGGGCCTTCAGTAATTGAAAAATGCTCATAAAAATACTTCTATAGGGTGCAAATTTCAAATTTTTATATAATTTTTTCTAAGACTAAAAAAAAAACCCAAAAAATTAGAAACATTGAGATAATGAAATGAAATTGTTGCATGAATAGATTTTAAGCTTCATAAATTAAAGAGGAATGGATATCCTTTCAGGGCCCTTTGAAAAGGTTAAGTAGGACCAGGGGATAAGAGGGGTCATAGGGGGCCAAACTACCAAGACGGGTGTTAAAGCACATGTACACTTTGTTTTGTTTGATGTCCCCTATTTATTTGGCTGAGTGATTTTTAACTCAGTTTTTTAAGACTTTTTAGATTCATGAAATCATTTTACAGAACAATGTAATGGAAGAAGATTTCTCTGTACAAGACAGGCATAGTATAGTTGGTTGTAGACATTTACAGCTCAGTTAATTGCAGTTATAGGTGGCAGAACTCTCCAAAATGAATATTTCTAATTTCTGGCATCTTGCTATCATTGACTTCAATTTAAAATTTTTATATTAGATCCCCTCTTGAAATATGGAAGCTTTATAGGAATTACATTGTATGTCTGTTTACCTGTCCAGCTATCATCCACACCTTTGTTGTGATATGATAACTCAAAACTTTTTAACTCAACATTCTACGAGCTTATTTGGAAATTTTTGTTATAAGAGAAAGATACCATTACATTTTGAGGTCATATGTATGTCTTAATGTCTTTTCATGAACAGTTTTGTTTTATGTCATTAGGCAGATTTCATTGTAATATTTGAATGCATCAATTATATAGCATGACTTACTCATAATAACGTTTAGTATTGCATCACATCAGGCATGTTGACAAACAGATGGATGACAAAAGATCTGCAAGCAATACTTTAGTTCTACTGCCCACCCACAAGTTCATTTCTTAAAAGTTAACATGATTGAATAATCTTGTATATTTTTTTATAGAGATACCGGTATTTGTGAATTTTCGTGAAACATAATAAATTATTTTGGAAAAGAGAGAGAGAGATAACTTTGTAATTGTATTCATTTGAGATTTGATAACAGACACTCCCTCCCTTTAAATAAAGGTTATTTTATCACCAATTTCAAGTAAGACTTAAAAAATGTATTTCATCAGTGAAAAAGAGAAGCCTTTGTTGAATTGTAAAATATATGTCCAGATGAAGAATTTTAAAGAGATATAATACTGTATAACCTAACATTGTAACCATTTAATTATTTGTTCATGACAAATTTCTGCTAAATTCTATCAATCGGCAATCCTCGGCTGACTCCGCTCCGCTCCATTCAAACCTCGGATGTGATTGGTGGAGGAATACGCAACAGATCCTTACATTTCTCCGCCGGAAACTGCCTTATCACTCATTTCATATTTCGCTCTGCATAACGTTCTTCGAAAATGTTTCTTAATTTATGCAATTCTTTATCGTAAACAGGTTTTGATTACATCCTCATGTTAACAGGCTTTGAAAGCCAGAAAAAACTGTTGAGTGTGCCACAAAATAAAACTCCGATTTCAAATGTATGACATTTGAAAGAAATTCAAAGAAGATCACATGACTGAATCAGCAAGATGGTAGATCACCGTTGACGTCCGAGGTTATGTGCGAGGTACGAGTCATCCGAGGAACTCCGAGTGAAATTCTATCATGTTATTGAATTATTGTCTATTAATAATGAAGAGTGTCTCATTATCTTAGATTTAGTATAGTTTGAAGGTTTTCAAAACAAAAACTACCAGTCTAACTTAATATTTGGAATACAGACCTGATGGAAAAAAATAAAAGCTTCCAAAGTTAGATAACTTTGTGACAGGAAAAAATGGAATCATTCAGCATTGAGTTATCTCTCTTGTAAAGCAAATGAATTACCAGCATTTATTATAAACAGAGATCAAGACTTTAGTTGATTATTCAAAAGATTTATCTTTGGCATAAAGTTTTAGATAAGTTTGGAAACTTTTAATTAACTATTTGATTTCTTTTTTTCCTTTCCACAATGATTATTGTTTGGTGTAAGATGTTCACTGACTGTTGATATCTGTTATAGTTTTCAATTAAAAAGATCTTTTTTCTTGTCTTTCAGTTTAATTTTTATTTTCCTTTTTCAGTCCTTCATTTTTGATGAAATAGAATGTAGAGGTCTCTGTAACGATTTTATTTTCCTCTTTCAGTCCTTCATTTTTGACGAAATGGAATGTAGAGGGCTCTGAACGATTTTATTTTCGTTTTTCAGTCTGTCATTTTTGATGAAATAGAATGTAGAGGTCTCTGTAACGATTTTATTTTCGTTTTTCAGTCCGTCATTTTTGACGAAATAGAATGTAGAGTTCTCTGTAACGATTTTATTTTCCTTTTTCAGTCTGCCATTTTTGATGAAATAGAACTCACAGATCTCAGTGTAGCGGAATGTAGCACCAAAAATATCAACCACAGTTTTCAGGTGAGTCATGTCATGTTTACAAGTGTTAATTACAGGTGTAAATAAGTAACGATGTATGTTGATCAATGCTCTGGCGAGGCGTAATGAACTCATTCAACACCTGTCATCCTATTCATGTGGTTTATTTGATAAAAATTAATATCCAGGGGCCTGTTTTACAAAAGGACTTACGACTTAAGACCAAGTTTAAATATTCATATAACTTTGTAATTAACATTATATCGAAAATTGTTTTAAAATCTTTAAAAAGAATGTGGTAAGATATTTTTACACAAGCAATTTCAAAATGAATAGGGGCCTATTACTTTTGCAAAATTTTACTATAATCTGAAGTTTTTGGTCTTAGTCGTAAGTTCTTTTGTAAAACGGGCCCCAGTTGGGAAGAAAATCTGTCTCCCCCAAACTCCCACCTGAGTTGTTGATCGAAATACCTTAACAGAGCAAAACCGTTGAGCATCACTGCATGTTTTCCTCAACCTTGAAATACGTTTATGGATGGATTTTAATTATACACACATCTTGGCTCAAATCAAGAAAAGGTAGTCTAAGAGGTCTTATTTGGGACTAAAACCATTGATATTAGGAAAAGAATGACAATTGAACAGTGTACAATTGAAAATTTCAATATTAATACAAGTGGAATTTGTACCTTGGATAATAAAGAGGAAATAGATTTGATAAAATTTCATTGTTTTTAATGACTACTAAATAAGTAACCCAGAACAGAAAGTAAGTACAAGATTGAAAAGGGAAAAAAAACATTTAGTTTGTTTCAAACCTTAAACAAAAGTGAGTGTCATGCCTACGTTTAATACATTTACTACTTTTTATGAGGGAATCCACAAATCTTAGGGAAAGAGGGGGTATTAAACACATCATAAAAACACCTTATAAAAAAACAAAAAGAGCCTTGATTACTTAAGGGTTTGGAGGATCTTGACACCCCTGAAAAATAAATCTCCAAATGGAAAGAATTCCCCTTTACTTAAATACATGTAAACTTGACAGATAAAAGAATTACTTTAACAATGAAGCAAAATTGTCAGTTCTTCTCGGATATGTAAATATAGATGACTCCTCTCACCAAGAGAAGAGAGGAGTGTATTTAGGAAGAAGGGGGGCAGTAGAGCAGTTGTCTCAACATTTACCTATGGTGATATATAAAAATGAATACCATGTATTTTCAGCATTAGCAGAAATCATATGCTCTTGAGTTGAAGGAGTAATGCCCGTTTTGTAATTCACAGGGGGTAGGTACTCCATAAATAATTGGTTCGTAAAATATAAATGAATTCATTTTGATTACTTGACACCATTAAAGAAGATTCAGAGGCTAGATAATAGAAAACATACATATTAAATAATTTGACAATTATATCAGAGAAATATGGCTAATGAACTGTGTCCCAGGTTCAATGGATTATAGCTACAATGTTGACAAAGCTCAGCTTTAGATGGAATTCCACAGCAATCAATATGTTTATTCACACTATAATTGCACATGAATACAATTTTTAACGGTTTAATGGATTTTAATGTCATCTTCAGTAACTAGTTACTTAAAACGTGGATATTTTATAGAGAAAATCTATACCGCCTTGCTTTATGTGGGCATACTCGTGTGTCACCGATGGATGATGTCTGCCCAGTCTTCTACCGATGTTCTGAAGCTCTTCCTTATAAAAAAAAAACAGTAGTGGATTACTAGTAATAAAATGAATTAGAAAATTTGCTGGTATAGTTTCATGAAGTTCCATTACATGGAAGAATCTTTTAAGTTGACCAAAAAGAAATAAACTGCAATCATATATGCATAGAAATGTTACAGAAAAAAATTGCACTCACTTTATATGCAAATAGCTTAAATCCAAAGGGAAAGACAGGCAGAGAATGCAGTAATAATGGAGTCTGATACTTTTCAATTTTTTCTAAGTTGATCTTTCTTCCTCTTGATAAATATCAATGCCGTGTTATTCTGTAACAGTCAGGGAAAGTCCAGATTATGTGTATAGTTTTGTCCTTCCTCATTTCCTTGTCGAGAGGTTCTCTTGATAAGCGAAACACAGGCTCTGTTGACTTTTCTACTGATCCCCTCCGTGAGGTAGAGTTGTTATATGATGTATAAAGAGACTTATTGGAGGCAATTATCATTCCCAGAGACAGGCAAATGTAGAAGAAGTGGAGGCGACAGGGTCATTGGTAGGCATATATTGGTAAGTAGGGAATTACGGAAAAATTAATATAACTTCCAGTAGCTTGTCTAGGGTCAGAAAGGAACAGTCAACTCAGGGGTGCAGGATAATAAAGTTGCTTCTTTCAACCAATGAAGTGATATGGAACTGTTGTCATTTGCTCTCGGGATGGGGGGGGGGGGGCTAGCCCCTTGAAATAACTGGTTATGAGCAGCTGGTGGAAATAACAAGAGTAGGGGAGTGAACTCCTGACTGACTTTTGTAAGTTGCTTGTCTTGGCTGAAGTACAGAGAAGATTCTCTAAGTTAAGGCCTTGTTTATGTTACACTAGGAAACTGCTGGTGGATACAGACGGATGATGTCATTAGTTGGTCTAGGAAGGCAGAAGTTTACACTAACTTTTTCTTTCTGATTGTTTGAAATGCTGGATCCCATTTATCTTGGCTACACCAGTAGGGGGCGCTGCAATCTGCTGATTAATCTCTGTATATTACTCCACCTTTCTGTCTTAATATCAAATTATCGACCTTTCTGCTCTAACCTTATTGCACTCTGTGACTAACAAACTCCATAATGAATGGGATATTTTTCTTTAATTTTTATGTTTGTTGAATACACATGAAAAGCAAAGGAAGTTGGATCCCTGGTGTGAAAGGTTTATTTTCTGACTTTCATCAGCTGACTGGTGTGATGGATTTATATTCGTATCTATACCTCTAGTGAGAGGTCATGAACCCCAAATATAACCTCTTGTCTGCGATAATCTTCTAAATAAACTCGGAAACATCTGTAGATTATCAGCGATGTAGAACCCATTGACGGAAAAAAATTCCCTGCTAAATAGCGACTGGTTTTCTGGCCTGTGATTCTATCTGAGGGGACGTTCTATTACTGTATCAGGGAGTAGCATCAAGATTGGTGAATTAAAATGTCTCCTGTGGAATGAACCTCCTACATCCTAGAGTTCAATGAACAACAGTCAAATGGGGAAATACAACAGTACATTAAGACTGGAGATATAGCGTGAGTCGTGTTTTACTGAGTACGACTGTGTCTTAGTTACTACTGGAGGAACCTATTACACTGTACACAAGGAAATACTACTACAGATGACCTATCCAGTGATATAATGAGTTATTGAATCTCCCCGAGCTGCCACTGGATCACCAGGAAAAGCCCAATCACATACATCTTCTGTGTACTGTTGTCTGGGCTATTATTAGCCGGAGTGGGCTGGCATATTTTTTTCATTAATTAATAGTACATACAAGTGGCCTGGTTGACCATCTGGTTAACGAGTCTGGAGTAATCTGGGGGGGGTTTATCAGAGGACTAGGGAGGATTTACACCCTGCTGTGGGATTGATTACTGTGTCAGTGTCCCGCGATTAGTGAACAACTTACACTGTTTAAACAGTACAAAAATAAAACCAGATGGATGACCGCTAAGTTTTATTTAGTGGTTTGTTACGCGGGTATGTATTTTCTGTACCAGGTTTTTATTTTCTTCATGTGAAGACATTTTAAAAAAATCTGAATTTTAAAAATCATTTTTTTTGTCTTTTATATTAGATTATATTTAAGAATAAATCTAGGGGTAAATCTACAGCTTGCTAATGTCTCTCTCTCTCTCTGATTAATCACATTGAATACAGAATGCTAAATGTCAAGTGTCTGGAGATCAGTATTTAAATGTTACAAATTGATTTATTGATAGAAGGAAGCACATATTGTCAGTGTTGACTTATTAAAATAATTATATGTGTAAATAACGAGGATGAGCTAAGATGATCCCAGTTATCTGAGTTTGTAACGCCTGGAATTCCTCCTCCCACCCACGACAGCTGATTAAAGAAGAGATAAATCTTTGTTACGAAGGAATCTGCCTTGTGTGTGACAGGTCTTTAACTAAGGCTGTGATTCCATAGGAAAGATGTACAACAACAAGCAGTGTTCATTTTATGTCTTAATAGGTGTCCTAAAATATCCATAATAAAACAGATATTATTATTATGGAAAGATGTATTATTATATATGTGTGAACATGATAAAACAGGCTTATCATAGAAGTGTTCTGTAATTTATGGTGTTGTTTAGTATGTATGTAAAGACATAACCTATATGATCACGGCTGTAATTTTTTTGTTGCCTTTTTCCGCTGCCCGCAGTGTTTTCTGGTAAGTGACTGGAGAGGGGGACTCACTAGTGATATAGGTAGTCACATTTCTTAGGCTCACACTCTATTCACCTGAGATATTCACCTGAGAAGAACGTGCGTAGATTTCACCTTCATCACCTGCGTATTAATCCTCACCCAATATCAAATTTACAAAAGACCCTCACTTTCCAATACCACTAGTAGATAGGGGAGTGGTCCGTATATACATTTTTGATTTAATAGGATTATTTATATTATTTGTTTATTTTTTATGGATGCTCCATCATGGATGAGGTAGGTTAGAATAAAACCTGGGTTTGTATTTAATAAAATGTCATATCTTCAGTTAAACAGACACAAGACAGATATTTATCTATATTTGAAAAATATTTTTTTTAAATTTAAATTGAAGTTTGCATGTGGGAAAATTGAATGAGTTTTGAATCCTATCATCAAGGTGAGACTAAGTATTTGTAAGTTACCTGAGCCACGCAGGTGACCAATTGCTTTCTTTTTTCATCTCTCATCATCTGTTGTGTGTGAAATGTTCATCAAGTATCATCCATTTTGTGTTGGACATTGCTCCCCCCCCTCACCCCTGGAGTGACAGGAATGGGTCCAAAACTATAGAAAATTAAAGCAATCTTCTAAAATCTTTTTCACTCCTTAACATAAAGCAGTCAACATGGTCAAACTGTTGGTATAAGTTTTTTTTAACCTTCTGCCAAAATTTTGAAATTCGTACGAAGCACAGTATTTAATAAGTCATTTATGCAGATCTTGCAGAATTTGATGGTTTAAAAAAAATTAATTTATTTCACCAATAGAATTTATGATCAGAATTCATAAGTCAGGTTTTAATTAATAAATAATCTCTCTCTCCCTGACCTTGTGGCCAGCAGTGAAGTGGAAAACTATATACCATTAATTAATGGAAACTTGACATGCATGGGAAAATCATGACTTAACCCTTCTTTGAATTTTTGAGAATCAATTATATAATTGTGCGTGGATGTATTTGCTTACACTTCACTCCAAATCAAATGGTTTTATAATGAGATGTCACTCCTCATTGATTTGGGTACACTAATGTTTTAAAGTCAATCTGTCCTGATTGATCAGGATTGATTTTAGATTTACATAAAATAGAAAATTCATATGGTACTGGAATTTTACCATCAGTATCAGATTTTGTATTTATATTGTAAGTAGATGAAGGAGTATGTTTATTTATTTATTTTTATCACAACTGGATTTTGGGTCTTATGATATAATAGAGTTGAAGGCTTCTAATAGAAGGATAGATTGTACAATTTATCAGAAGAGCGATTCAAGGCCCTTGGGCCTCTTGTTTATTTTTATCACAAGAAAATTGAAAAACTACAATTTTCATGCCATGTGTGAAGCAAGCTACAATCCTACTTTCATTTTGAAGTAGTGAATTTATTTTATAATTGACAAGTTTCTATAGTTTTAAGGCTGGTTGTTTATGTTGTAGGTTATAACACCATTCAGGAACCTAGTTCTGTGTGCAGACAGTAGACGAGAAATGGAGGAGTGGATCACGGCCTTAAAAACCGCCACTAACAGGGAATTTTATGATGTAAGTACATCTTCTCTGTGGGTGTATGTGAGGGGGATGGGTGGGGGGTGGATCTTAGTTCTATGCGCCCACAGTAGAAGAGAAATGGAGTAGTGGAACATGGCCCTAAAACCTCCACCAATAGAGAATTCATCTTCTGATGTGTGTGTGTGTGTGTGTGGGGGGGGGGGGGGGGGCTTGCTTTTGTGTGCCGACAGTAGAAATGTGTCACAGCCATGTCAGTACTGCTTATTGGGGGTGGGGGGAATGGGGGGTCTTCAAAATTGCCATGAACAAAGGTGGATGGGTGGCCCTCAAAACTGTCACTAACAGGGAATCCTGTGATGTTGGTAAATATTTTATGTTAATTGGTGTAATGGGGGAAAGAAAAAGTTTTAATTATTTTATAGTAACATTTACAATAATATGTAATTATTGCTCGAAAATCTCGAAAGAACTACAAATAAGAGTAACAATAAAAAGAAAATAAATGTACACAGTTGTCTTAAAGAATCTGTACTTGTCTTAAAGAATCTGCATTTGAATTTGGAATGAACAACATTTGATCATCTGCAGTATCATATCTAATTATTTTTTTCCTCATTGTTGAAAAATCTCTACATTCTGAAGTCTCGTGATATCAAACTTGCATGATCACATAATTTTCTGATATTCAAGTAAACATCCTTTAATAAGTGAGGGTAACTCACTTCTTGTTTCTACATGTAGATGACAGTTTGATGTACATTGTACTTAACTTCATCAGTACTTCATTTCACTTTGGAGGTAAAATATTGAGATATTTTCCAGATCTAATATTGGGTTTAAATAGTTTGTAAACCTGGCCTTTAGAAGAACTTTTTACATCATGTTACTATTTTTGAAATAACTTTTTTAAACATCTGATTTATTGACTCTATAGCAGTTATCCATCTTATGTTGATAAGACCTGGCTTGTACTGTATTTATAAAAGCCCACAATTGTTTTCAAAACAGGCCTTGACAAATTTGGTTCACTATCAAGGTATCCTCTTTATAAACTGTTTTGTGACCATAAAATAAATAATAAAATAAATAATCACACAGGGGTCAGTAACCCTTACATCCAGGTCCTGTAAAAAGAACATGTCCAAATGGAAAATTTACTCTTCTCCTCTAAAATTTATGAAAAATTCCCAAATGACAAGCAGATTGAATTTTTCAGTGCAATTTCTATTTCAAAACTTTAAATATTGAGATTATAAGCATTCATAAAGATGTAAATAGAGAATATCCTTCAAATTAACTCTTTATTCAACAATTAAACATAAGACAAAAATATTTTCAAATTTTCTGTACTCTTTTGATTTAAAAATCCCAATGGGTACAGGACGCTTTATATTACCAAAAAAGGTCAATTAATCCTTGTCACACATTCAATTAGATTAGGTTTACAGAAATTATATAGTCCTAGAGCCAACAAAGAACAAAAGCAGATATTTTTGCTGACACACCCTTTGTGAAAGACAGGGGAAAACTTTATACTGGAGAATGAAACATGATGGATTTGAATTAGATATGGTCACGATCTATCATTTTACCCTGAAATTAAGCTGCAGTGAATAGGGTAGTCAGATCTAGCGCTGAACTATTGTATTTTTAGAAATAGGCTTGTTACTACAGTGTGAAATAAAAATCTTCATCTGATTAGTATTCTTGAAACAAATCATGAAATTTTTATTGTGGAATTAAGTGGACAAAGTATATTCCTGGTTTTTGCAATAATTCTTTATTGATCAATTAGGTTTATATTAAGAAGGTGCAACAGGAAAAGATGTTTTTAAAGCTTATAATCAGCTTTTCTTAGTTTCTACTTTTCAATTCTATTAATGTACATAAAAAAGTAATTTGCATTTCTTCTTAAAATAAATGAGTTGTTAAAAAAAAAAGACCTTCAGCAAGGTGCTAATTTGTATAACTAATGGGATGATATTGAAATTGTTGGGGGATGTCTTGAAATATATATATATTAAAAAAAAATCAATGGCCTGGCTGACAGGTGTGCTGCCTGACAGGTGTAACGAGATTTGTATGTAGACCTGGAGGATCAGGTAGGATTTTACCTGAGTAGCTTCTCCAGCATCACAGCTCGGGCGTCCTCTGACAAGGAAGTATATGTGTACCATGGATCTCGTGTAAAAACTAGACTCACAGTACTGATGTACAGAGGATCTCATGTTGTAAAAACTAGACTCGCAGTACTGTACTGATGTACTGAGGATCTCGTGTTGTAAAAACTAGACTCACAGTACTGTACTGATGTACCGCGGATCTCGTGTTATAAAAACTAGACTCACAGTACTGTACTGATGTGCCGAGGATCTCATGTTGTAAAAACTAGACTCACAGTACTGTACTGATGTACCGCGGATCTCGTGTTATAAAAACTAGACTCACAGTACTGTACTGATGTACTGCGGATCTCGTGTTGTAAAAACAAGACTCACAGTACTGTACTGATGTACCGCGGATCTCGTGTTTGAATCAGACTTTAAACACATACTGGACTGTACTAAGGTTGTAAACATGCACGAAGGATTATCTCTCCCTCTGGTTAAGTGTCGAAGTAGTGAATTGAGATTGTGAACAAGAGGCATGCACAGGGAGTTGAATTTACCCGTAATATTTAGGTTGTAGACATTAGTTAATTGAGTGGTGAACATGTATGGAGACTCTGATTTTACTGTCGTATTAAGTGAATTGTGATCCGGTTAACAGTGACGATGCTGTGCTGTTTAAGGGGGATAAATCGAGAGGGTTCACTGATCACACGGTATTTTGAGAGAGTTCATGTTGAGAAGGCGGAGAACGGGGTTTGTATCCAGTAATGCAATATAAAGGGAGAATTGTGCTTTGTTGTTAATCTGTAAACATTGTCTTTTCATTAGTGAATTTAGAGAGATTATAATGATAATTAATTTTTTTAAAATTCAAATTAAATTTTTTCACATTTTTTGTGAAAATGAATTTTTTCAGTCTGCAGAGAAATATACCTAGTTAAAATTACAGTATCTATTGGCAAAGGAAAGCAAAAACAAACATATTACCCGGTAATCACCTGATCCCTGCATCCCAGGTTGCATAAAGGGTGGGGCCAAACCTTCAAAATTATAGCAGTCTTCAAAAATAATAAGGAATGAGCCCATGGGACCAATGGTTCAGGCATATGGATGTACTGGTAGCTAAGTTGGTCATATATATACTTATTGAAAATTCATGAAATCTTTGAAAACTGATGAAAAGTATATTTAGTGAGCAATCAGATAGAATGATGACCATTAGTACAAAACCTTACCCCACTGTCTTATGAGAGCAGTTTTCAGGCCCCAATGATGAGACTAAACTTGTTCATATAATCATGATATACTGAGAATGCATTACACCTTTGAAAATGGTTTACTTTAAACATCTACATATAGGAGATACTGTAAAATCATTATTTCACAGGGGTTTAATTTTCGCGGTTGTCAAGGTGTATTTAAGAGACCCATGAATTTATGTCCACCACAAAATGCAATTTTTCACACATATATTCTACTGAACAATTCTTCAACAACTAAATCAAATCTCCATGAACCAATCTATATTTTCTTAAAACCACCAAAATCTGACCCCTTGAAAATATGTGATTTTACAGTAAACTGATTTGTACATGAGCAAAATCGTTATAAATAATCATAAGGAACACTTTGCCCTCTACCAAAATTGTTAACTTTATGGCCCTCTGGCACACATGGTTTAGGTCTAATGAAAAGGTTAGTTGGCTTCGCTAGAACATGTAGAATATTGTAAAATTAAACCTCAAGTTTTCTTTTCTTTTTTTTCAATGGATGATATCAGGCAAAGTTTTTCTTTGAGGGAAGACCTTCATGTCCCTTGGTTCAAGTTTTAGGTCATGCACAGGAAATTTGAAAAAAAAAATTTTTAATATTGAAAAAATTATGTCATAAGTCAAGTAAGGTACATTTTAAAGTTTTTTTTTTTCTTTTGTAAATTCAGTACATTTTAAATAAATATCTTAAAGACAAGATAATACACAAGTTGTGCCTGAATATTTTAAATCTTCATGTATTCAGCATATGTTGGTTAGTACAGTTCACACCTAGTTCCTCAGTGACAGGTGACAACATTTTGGCTGGAGGCCGGTTTATGATAGGTTAATTGTTTCACCGGTCAGACCTTGTATGATCAATCACTGGTCATTTGTAATGACAATAAATTATACACTGACCAATGGTCACACCAGGCCCCTGCCTGATCCTCCACCAACTGACTCCAATTTAACGGTAATTACCTTTTTTAAATCTTTAAAAATATAAATATAAGTGTATAAATGATGAGGCAGGGTATAAAAAATGCTAGCCTTGTATAGAATAACAACAATTGTGTAATAATTAAAAAATGAAAGCTGGACTGAGATCTTACAATAGACAATTGTTTATGCATGTAATGATCAGAGACAAGACATTCTCTCATTTAATGAGTGTAACAGAGTTTACAGTGGCTATGCATTGTTAATAGTGAGGCCACGCTTCTACTATAGTACTAGCTAGTGGGTTAATCCTTTAGCTCAGTTGGTAGAGAGTTGGATTTAAAACCTGAGGGTTGTAGGGTCGAGCCACACTGTGGACACCCCTTAGCTAATTGGTTATATGTGTATCATAGGTCTATACCGAGTGCTGTCTTAAATTTTTATTTCTTTTCAATAGTGCATGAAAACCAATAATATATGTATATTAAAAAAAATTGCTATTTTTACCCTGAGAATTCAGTGTAAAGTAAATGTTGAATGACAATTCCACTTTACAACCAGATTTCATAAAACTGACTGTGTTTGATTATTGGACTGTGTTTGATTATTGGACTGTGTTTGATTACAGGGCAATGCCAGCCAGAGAGAGATGATGTCTGGTCAACACAATTGGTACGCCTGTTCTCACGCTCGCCCCACCTACTGCAATGTCTGCCGCGAAGCTCTGTCAGGGGTAACCTCTCACGGCTTGTCTTGTGAGGGTATGTATCAGTACTACAATGTCAGGGGTCACCTCTCACGGCTTGTCGTGTGAGGGTATGTATCAGTACTACAATGTCGGGGGTCACCTCTCACGGCTTGTCGTGTGAGGGTATGTATCAATACTACAATGACAGGGGTCACTTCTCACGGCTTGTCATTTGAGGGTATTTATCAATACTACAATGTCAGGGGTCACCTCTCATGGCTTGTCTTGTGAGGGTATGTATCAATACTACAATGTCAGGGGTCACCTCTCATGGCTTGTCTTGTGAGGGTATGTATCAATACTACAATGTCAGGGGTCACCTCTCACGGCTTGTCTTGTGAGGGCATGTATCAATACTACAATGTCAGGTGTCACCTCTCACGGCTTGTCTTGTGAGGGTATGTATCAATACTACAATGTCAGCTGTCACCTCTCACGGCTTGTCTTGTGAGGGTATGTATCAATACTACAATGACAGGGGTCACTTCTCACGGCTTGTCTTTTGAGGGTATTTATCAATACTACAATGTCAGGGGTCACCTCTCATGGCTTGTCTTGTGAGGGTATGTATCAATACTACAATGTCAGGTGTCACCTCTCATGGCTTGTCTTGTGAGGGTATGTATCAATACTACAATGACAGGGGTCACCTCTCATGGCTTGTCTTGTGAGGGTATTTATCAATACTACAATGTCAGGGGTCACCTCTCACGGCTTGTCTTGTGAGGGTATGTATCAATACTACAATGTCAGGGGTCACCTCTCACGGCTTGTCTTGTGAGGGTATGAATCAATACTACAATGTTGGGGGTCACCTCTCACGGCTTGTCTTGTGAGGGTTTCTATATTACAATGTGTGGGGTCACCTCTCACAGCTTGTCTTGTGAGGGTATGTATCAGTACTACAATGTGTGGGGTCACCTCTCACAGCTTGTCTTGTGAGGGTATGTATCAGTACTACAATGTGTGGGGTCACTTCTCACGGCTTGTCTTGTGAGGGTATGTATCAGTACTACAGTGTCAGGGGTCACCTCTCACGGCTTGTCTTGTGAGGGTATGTGTCAGTACTACAATGTCAGGGGTCACCTCTCACGGCTTGTCTTGTGAGGGTATGTATCAGTACTACAGTGTCAGGGGTCACCTCTCACGGCTTGTCTTGTGAGGGTATGTGTCAGTACTACAATGTCAGGGGTCACCTCTCACGGCTTGTGTTGTGAGGGTATGTATCAATACTACAATGTCAGGGGTCACCTCTCATGGCTTGTCTTGTGAGGGTATGTATCAGTACTTGGATGTTTCATAATTAAAGCTGATTAATTCCAAACTCAAATACTGAATGTTAGTGTGTTACAGACAATTTATTTACATCTGAAAATAAAATTGAAGAGAAAAACACCACATGCAATGTGACTGTTTAAGGAGTCTGATTCTTCATGTTTACTACAGTAGTCACCTGCTGGAGAACTGCACACACAGGTTCATTATTTCTACGTCTATTGTTTATTGGTAACAGAAATCTGCCAGCTACATTAAAGGTGATTGGCCGGGTCCAAGAGTTTTGCCCTTTGTTAATTGTAAAACCTGGAAATTATGATATTGAATTAAATGATTTACCTGTAAGATGGCGTTACTGATGAGAGACGCTGTGCTTTAATCATAGAGAGATACTCTAAAGGATGATGTTACAAAGTGGGCAGTGCCCTTGTTGTCCTTTTTTTGATGTGTACACTCGGTCTCACCAAGGATAGACAAGGATTTTGTCCCTTTTACCCAGCAATGGCTAGTTTTCCTTAAGAACCAGCTACCAGCCATATTGACTGCTTTAAATGACAAAAATGCCATTTTGAAATTATAAAAAAAAATTTAATTGTTGTAAGGTCCACAGAGATTTGTATTAAACCTCAACTCAAAGCCTGTTATAGTAGATCTCCAGCCTTATACCTTCAAATAAAGGGAAAATACTATTACTTGGGAGGGTTCTTGCAATTTAAATGTAGGTTAGTGTTGTGGCCCAAGGGCCTCTTGTTAGAGCTTGGTATTAAAAGTCCTACTCTTTAGAAGCATGAAACTTTTGGATTCCTGACTGATGTCTTTATTCAGATAACTATATTTTTATCGTAAGTGAGGAGAATACTACCTGTGAGATAAACCTTTGCTAAATATCCACGGGTGGATGCTTTATTAATAGTACTTCTGGTTTTGACACAGTATACAAAGGCAGATCAGGGGCCAGCATGCGGGGCAAGATTCAGTGCAGCCCCCAGACCCCCTACCTTCTACTGTGCCCCCGTTATAAAATCCTAGATCCACCACTGATATAGATATCCTCTATCTATCTACAGTATCCAGTATTTATTCTACAGTCATAAATTCTTTTTATAGTAATATTTACTGGATTGGAGATCAAGTTTTAGTCTGTGACAGTTATTAATGAAATGAGAGGTGAAGGCTGGGATATGCTGATCCTTTTATAATTCATTTTCTTGGAGAGGTGGAGTTTTCTTGATTTTCTGTCTATTGATTATTTTATCCTATATCTCTTGTTCTTGAGAATGTTCACATCGTGACACTCAAGTTGGGTTCATTAATTGTACAAAAATAACCATCATGCCCCTGAGTCAATGCAATATTCTCCCTTTCTGATTTTAAAGAGTTTTTTTTTTTTGATTAGTTTGTGTCATGAAGTTTATTTATATATAGATTTCAATTAGATCAATCACTTAAGCGCAGCCATCAGCGTTAATATTGAGACACGCCCATAACTTCAACAGTCTTTTATTACCAATCAAATAAAAAAGAAATTTACAAAATAACTGTTTCAATAATGACTTTAGCTCTACTTGTTAAAGATGTTGCCATGGTAATATGAAAAGCAGTAATTGCAAAGGGTTTTCACAGAGCTTCTTCACTCATTGTAGAAGTATATACATGTAGTAAGGCAATGTTAAAGAATAAAAGAATTGGTGTTATGAATAAATAATTCCAGGGGATAAAGTTTTCAATTTAGTCTCAAAGGAGCAAAGGATCCTGAGTTAAAAAGGAACTTATATAAACAAAATTTTCTATGTGATTTGAAAATGTCACCAACTGAACAATTCTGCTGAGATTCAACTTAAAGAAATGGACATAAGGCCATATAAAATTGAAATCTTGGTTCTCAGGCCCGCGCGCATCCGTTTTGAGGTAGCCGCATTGCCGATTTTATTGAATTTTTGATAAAATAAAAAGTTGGTATTGCGGAGACCAATCCGGGAAAAAATTTGTTTCGTAGTTTAGTATTCAAATATCACTTCCGGTAGCCATTTACAATGAGATTTTGGCTACTTCGTTTGAAAATACATTCGAGGACATTACCTACGATGTTTACACGCTGTTAAGCAGTGGACAAAGCAGAAATTTTGGCCAGAAATGGAAAGTATATCTGTGATTAAAAAAATATCTTTATGTTAAAGAAAATTCGGAAATTAAAATAAAAAAAAAATACCTCCCTCATCTACTTTATTGCCAATAAAATGAAAAATAAAATGCCGCCCTCCCGCATCTGTTTTGGAGAAAATAGGCCTGAGAACCAGGGAATTAAATTTAGATAGCCTAACTGAATTCTTCATATTCACATTAACATGTTTAAACTCAAAACAATTTAATCAATTTGAGATTGGAAAAGTTCACAAATTAAGTAGATTTTCATTGTGATTGTCAGTTCTGTTGTAAAATTTGTCCCTTTTTCAACTATTTCAGTCTGCAAGTTCAAGGCCCACAAGAGGTGTGCTGTGAAGGCCCAGTCAAACTGTAAGTGGACGACCCTCGCTGCCATTGGGCGGGATATCCTAGAGGATGAAGACGGAGTAAGTCACCAATCTAACAAATCTTTGAATGAACTATGTTTACCTTTTATGCATTTGTTATTAATTTTGACGTGCAATGTTCAAGATTTATAATAGTTACTGGTATATTTTTTATACCAAATTTTGATGACTCACCAGTAATTGAAATCGAACCCTTGGTAAAAAGATATGCAATGCTTATAATTTATAATAATTGGTGTTTTTTTTTCGTAGCTGATCTCAATGCCACACCAGTGGTTAGAAGGGAACCTGCCGGTTAGTGCTAAGTGTAATGTGTGTGAGAAGACCTGTGGCAGTGTGTTAAAACTACAGGACTGGAGATGTCTATGGTGTAAAGCTATGGTAGGTTCTCTGGTGTAAAGCTATGATAGGTCCTCTATTGTAAAGCTATGGTAGATCCTCTAGTGTAGAGCTGTGGTAGGTCGTCTAATGTAAATTTATGATAAGTCCTCTAGTGTAATGCTATGGTAGGTACATTAATGTGAAGCTATGGTAGGTCTTCTATTGTTAAACTTTGGAAGGTCCTCTACTGTAATGCTATGGTAGGTCCTCTAGTGTAATGCTATGGTAGGTCCTCTAATGTAAATTTATAGTAGGTCCCCTATTGTAATGCTATGGTAGGTCCTCTGGTCGTAATGCTATGGTAGGTCCTCTAGTGTAAAGCTATGGTAGGTCTTCTGGTGTAAAGCTATGGTAAATCCTCTATAAGTTATGGTAGGTCCCCTATTGTAATACCATGGTAGGTCCTCTGGTGTAAAGCTATGTTAGGTGTTCTAGCGTAAAGCTATGGTAGGTCCTCTAGTGTAAAGCCATGGTAGGTCCCCAATTGAAATGCCCTGGTAGGTCCTCTGGTGTAAGGCTATGGTAGGTCCTTTGGTGTAAAGCTATGGTAGGTCCTCTTTTGTTAAGCTATGGTAGGTCTTCTGGTGTAAAGCTATGATAAATCCTCTATTGTAATGCTATGGTAAGTCCTCTATTGTAAAGCTATAGTAGGTCTAATATAAAGCTATGGTAGATCCTCTAGTCTAAAGCTATGGTAAGTCCTCTAATGTAAAGCTTTAGTAGGTTTGTATTATAAAGCTATGGTAGATCCTGTAGTGGAAAGCTATGGTAGGTCCCCAATTGTAGTGCCATGGTAGGTCCTCTGGTGTAAAGCTATATTAGGTTCTCTAGTCTAATGCTATGGTAGGTCTTCTGGTGTAAAACTATGGTAGGTCCTCTAGTGAAAAGCCATGGTAGGTCCTCTGGTGTAAGGCTATGGTAGGTCCTCTGGTTTAAAGCTATGGTAGGTCCTCTATTGTAAAGCTATGGTAGGTCTCCTGGTGTTAAACTAGGGTAAATCCTTTATTGTAAAGCTATGGAAGTCTTATATTGTAAAGCTATAGTAGGTCTTTAGTATAAAGCTATGGTAGATCTTCTAGTGTATAGCTATGGTAGGTCTTTTAGTTTAAAAGTATGGTAGAATCTCTAGTGTAAAGCTATGGTATGTTCTGTAAAAATATATTATCAAGTGTAAAGGTATGACATTTGCTTTTAGTTCTTGTAAAAGGTTATTAAATGTTCTCTGGTTTTACTTGTTTAAAGCTATGTATTTACTGAGGTATAATGTTCAAGATATGTTCAAGCTTTAGTAAGTTCTTTGGTGAAACCTATATTATGACCTCTTGTGCAAAGCTTTGATATCTGCTATGTTACAAAGCAAAGTGACTTGCATGTTTTACAAATCAATAAAGTCAGGGATTAAGGAATATTAGAGTTTACAAGAAATTAGAAAAGAAAATTAATTTCTCGAATGGGCAATTTTCCAATCTCAATGCAATTATGTAAAATATTGAGTGAATTATGTAATTCTCAAGAGTTCTAATGTAAGTTCATTTGATAATTTAAAATTTGATAAAGAAAGGTATTCATTTTAATATATTGTGTGAAGTGTTTGACAGGGACATTCTAACTGTAATGATATTGTTTGACAGGTACATTCTAACTGTAAGGACCAGATGTCCTCAGTGTGTCCCCTGGGTCAGTGTAAACTCTCCATCCTCCCGCCCACCGCCATTAACAATATTGACTCGGACGGTTACTGGGAAGCCACGCGACCCCCCAGAACAAGTCCGCTACTCGTCTTCGTAAACACAAAGTCGGGAGACAATCAGGTAAATACGCCAATCCATCTTAAATGTAAAAAACAAGAATTATGTGAATTGTTGTAAATAAGATATTTTCCTACTTGAAGACAGTAATGATAACTTTGTTTTGTAAAAGAATTTTGTAGATTTGAACATGATTTTTTTCTTCCTTTTACAGTTTTTTTAAAAAAAATCAATTATCTTGCAGGGAGTAAAATTCTTACGCAGGTTTAAACAGCTTTTAAATCCTGCTCAGGTTTTTGATTTGATGAACGGAGGACCACATCCAGGGTAGGTAAATCTTGACTGATTGGGGGGGGGGGGGGGGGGGGGGGGGGGGGGTGATAGGGGCTGCTGGTCAAGGACAGGTAACTCTTGATTGATTTGGGATGGATAGGGGCTGCTTGTCAATAGTGATGGAACGATTGTCGGCGACAATCGATTGTCGGTCGTTAGAAGCTCTTCGATGCTACTAATCGATTATAAAATAAATGTCGCCGACATCGCTAACAAAAATTAAAATTATCATACTTTAATTTTATTACCAAATCCAAGTGCAAAGAGCATAAATGTAGTGATGAATGTTGAGGGGTAAACATGCTGGTCAAGGACATAACTCTTGATTGATTTTATTTTTACCGCCATGATTAAATATGGGCTGTTCAAGGACAGGTAACTCTTGATTGACTGGTCAAGGACAGGTAACTACCATTGATTTTGTGGGGGTAGTATTGCAAGTAAAGGAAACATAATTAGTCTAGTCAATGTTTAAACGTAATTATAATCATAAATACAAGTCAAACTTCTGGATAATTACTTTTACAACTTGCAATTTTAATTAATTAAAACTAATTTTAGGAAATTAATACGTATATGTATTAAATGAAAGGTGGGACTAATATCAGTAAAATACCCATTGCATGGACTTTATGACAGGTAAAAAATTGAAAATCCCATTCTGTTTCAGGACAGTCCTATATTGTTTAAAGTAAACAAAATACTATTTTCCACTTTTTAAAAAAGAAATTTCAATTAACATTCAAGGACAGGTAACTTTGAATATTTTATATAAGTAAATGTTTTTTTGTAAAAGTCTGACAGATAAGGGCTGCTTGTCAAGGACAAATCTGAATAATTTTTTACTTTTCTATATTAATTTTATTAAAGTTCAAAATTTCGATTATAATCGATTATTAATCGATTATGCCCAGCCGATTATTACCGATAATCGATTATGATTTTTTTCCGATTCCCCTCACTATTTGTCAAGGACAGGTACCTCTCCTCTTGATTGATTTGGGGGGGTTGGGTTGGATAGGAGCTGCTGGTCAAGGACAGGTTACTCTTGATTGATTTTCCTGTGGACAGGTAACTCTTGATTGATTTAGGGGCTGCTGGTCAAGGACAGGTAACTCTTGATTGATTTGTGGGGGGTAGGGGCTGCTGGTCAAGGACAGGTAACTCTTGATTGATTTGTGGGGGATAGGGACTGCTGGTCAAGGACAGGTAACTCTTGATTGATTTGGGAGGGGGGATAGGGGCTGCTTGTCAAGGACAGGTAACTCCTGATTGATTTGTGGGGGATAGGGGCTGCTTGTCAAGGACAGGTAACTCTTGATTGATTTGGGGTGGATAGGGACTGCTGGTCAAGGACAGGTAACTCTTGATTGATTTGGGAAGGGGGGGGACTGCTGGTCAAGGACAGGTAATTCTTGATTGATTTGGGAGGGGGGATAGGGGCTGCTTGTCAAGGACAGGTAACTCCTGATTGACACAATGTCAGGAAACACAGGCTACTTGACAAATGCCTCTTTGTTGTTTGGTAAAAATGCAATGTTGTATATTTTCATTCAAAGTTCTGAATATCTTCTTACATTTAACATCAGTAAAAGCTTTGTTCTGTTTGATCTACATACTACATAAAGTTGTATTGTTTAATGTTGAGTGAAAGCTTCTGTAGCTTGTATGAGACAGGATAGAATTGACACTAACTGTGGAGTGCTTCTTTTATTTCAGCTTATCTTAACACCCCACTTAACAAGTACACAGGAATGAGATCAGGAAACAGTGACATAAGATTTCATTAACAGTGCATCAGTACATGTCTCGGAAGAGCTTTCACATTTAATTTATTTTTTTTGAAATGCTGTTTTTTCCAGTTTGAGAGGATTCCAAAGTTTGATCAATTCTGATTTTTTTTTCTTTTTCAGACTTTTCCTGAAGTTTGATCAGTTTCTGCTATTTTTTCAGTCTGGGACTATTCCAGAAATTTGATCAGTTTTGACTTTTTTTTCAGTCTGGGACTATTCCAGAAATTTGATCAGTTTTGACTATTTTTTTCAGTCTTGGGCTATTCCAGAAATTTGATCAGTTTCTGCTATTTTTTCAGTTTGGGACTATTCCAGAAGTTTGATCAGATTTGACTATTTTTATTTACAGGCATAATTGCTCATATTTATATGGAAGCATCCTCAGGTAGTGTAGATTGTAGGGCGGGGCCAAACTTTTGGATTCAAACTTTTCAATAGACTAGCCACAATGCTCGGGTGAGCGATGTGGCCCATTGACTTTTTTATTTTCAGTCTGTGACTATTCTTGACTATTTTTATTTTCAGTATGTGACTATTCTTGACTATTTATATTTATATATCTATTAATGACTTTTTATTTTTGGTCTGTGACTATTCTTGACTATTTATATTTATATCTAACTATTTCAGAAGTTTGACCAGATTTGACTTTTTTTATTTTCAGTCTGTGACTATTTTTGTCTATTTTTATTTACAGTCTGCGACTTTTCCAGAAGTTTGATCAGTTCCGGATCTTGGTGTGTGGAGGGGATGGGAGTGTAGGCTGGGTTCTGTCAGAAATCGACAAACTTGATCTCCATAAACAGGTATCCCCCCAGCTAAATGCTTCTGATTCATAGCTACTGAGTTTTGACCAAAGTAAAATTTGAAAAAATCCTTAAGTGTTTGGCAAATAAAAACCTGAAATAACAATATCATTAAAATTTTATTTAAATGCATGGAGCACAAATGTAGAATGGCAAATTGATTTGCATTTTTAGGAGAAACATAAGAATTGATTCTTTGGTCCAGATTGATACAAAGTTTTTTTGTTCTTGACAGTGTCAGATGGGGGTGCTGCCCTTTGGGACGGGGAATGACCTGGCCCGGGTCCTGGGCTGGGGCTCCACCTTCGACGCTGACACACAGCTGCCTGTGATACTAGAAAAATTAGAACATTCTCAGATTAAAATGTTAGATAGGTAAGTCATACGGTATTAGAACATTCTCAGATTAAAATCTTAGATAGGTAAGTCATGCTGTATTAGAACATTCTCAGATTAAAATGTTAGATAGGTTAGTCATACTGTGTTTGAACATTCTTAGATTAAAATGTTAGATAGGTAAGTCTCACACACTGTATTAGAACATTCTCAGATTAAAATGTTAGATAGGTAAGTCTCACACACTCTATTAGAACATTCTCAGATTAAAATGTTAGATAGGTAAGTCATAATGTATTAGAACATTCTCTGATTAAAGTATTAGAACATTCTCAGATTAAAATGTTAGATAGGTAAGTCATACTGTATTAGAACATTCTCAGATTAAAATGTTAGATAGGTAAGTCATACTGTATTAGAACATTCTCAAATTAAAATGTTAGATAGGTAAGTCATACTGTATTAGAACATTCTCAGATTAAAATGTTAGATAGGTAAGTCATACTGTATTAGAACATTCTCAGATTAAAATGTTAGATAGGTAAGTATGTGCTGTACCAGTAAACTTTGATATGTCTGACTTCTCTATGTAAGATGCTACTGGATTTGTCAAAGTGATATGAAATTCCTAATTTTCTTTTCTTTTGAATTATTTTAATCTAAAAACTTGAATCCTCCAATGTTTCTCAGTATTTTCTTGGCTATATTGAGTTTTATATAATAATAATATTAGATTGTACTTGGCCATTTTGAAGTAATCTATTTTCAAAGAATTACATCTTGTATAATTTTAAGACAATGGTAAAAACAATAATATATATTTTTAGATTTGGTTTGACACACATTTAATTTTTTGTTTTCTTTTTTTTTACCTGACAGGTGGAGTATATGGACGTATGAGGGCACGATGCCCCCGCCTAGAAAACTCTCACAACAGGTGACTATCTCATTCTTCTTCTCTAACAAAGTTTTACAGATCTACTCTACTACTATGTTAATCCTGCTGTCATAAATCAGGATTGGAGGGTTTTAATAAAAACATTTAAATTTAATGGATATTAAAGCAATCCAAAGTCCAAACATTTTGATGAAGTATCTTTTTTATTGAAGTAATTTATTCTTAGTATATGTATGATGACATAACCGGAAAATGAACAGGTGATGTGCTATCTGATAATTGGCTGTCTAGAACATTACTGAGACCTTTGTTATTTGTGCTCTCTGATAATTGGCTGTCTAGAACATTACTGAGACCTTTGTTATTTGTGCTCTTTGATAATTGGCTGTTAAGAACATTACTGAGACCTTTGTTATTTTCAGTTTGATCCGATATCAGTGTATGAAGACTCGGTGGCCAATCATCTCTCCAAAATGTTACATTCCGAGGACCACGCCATTGTTATCTCCTCAGCAAAGTAATTACATTGTTACATTACCATAATAACATTGTTATTTTCCTCAGCAAAGTAATTACATTGTTACATTACAATAATAACATTGATATCTCTTCAGCAAACTAATTATTATATTTACTTTTGCTATTTACTCCATATCATAATTAATCCATATTATAAAAATGTTAATCATACTTCACAAAAATGTAGATAAAATGTAATAATATTAATTTTTAGGGTAATTACGGTATTGATTTTTTAGGGTATTGTGTCAAACTGTTAAAGACTTTGTAGCCAAGGTTGGAGAGGCCCACGAAAAAGAAGGACAGAAGGATTCCGATATAGCTTTAAAGGTTTGAATATTGTGTCATAAAAATGTCATAAAATCATATTTAAATATTTATATGCAAGAAGGGTTTTCCAAGCCTTGAAATAAAAGTAACTGCCTTGAAATAAAAATAACTGTTCCTTCCTAAAGTTAACCGTTTGATTATTTACAGTGTAATGTGTTGAATGAGAAGTTGGAGAGTTTACTGGTAACACTAAATGAAGAGGCTGAGGCCTCCACATCTCAGGTGAGCACCTGTCCTTCCTGAACAGATCAATAAAATTATATGGAATACTACAGTTCTGAAATATTTACATGTCTCCTTTGTAGATTTAAGGTTTCAGTGTTGAATTTTCTTCATTTCAATTTCAGGAATCAACAAAATCCCATCCCCCTCCAGACCAAGATTCCAACAATCAGGATAGAGACACCGTCCCGGGGGTCATAACCGCCCCTACCAAAACCAAATCAGTAAGTCAATGTCCCCCCTCCCACCAATCAGTATACCCCCCCCCCCCCAAGACCAAATCAGTAAGATTTCAACAATCAGGATAGAGACACCGTCCCAGGGGTCATAACTGCCCCCACCAAAACCAAATCAGTAAGTCAATGGCCCCCACCACAATCAGTATACCCCCCACCACCACCACCACCACCAAATCAGTAAGTCATTGCCCCCACCAAAATCAGTATACCCCCCCCCCCCACCACCAAATTAGTAAGTCAGTGGCCCCCACCAAAATCAGTATACCCTCCACCACCACCAAATCGGTAAGTCAATGGCCCCCACCAAAATCAATATACCCCCCACCACCACCACCAAATCGGTAAGTCAATGGCCCCCACCAAAATCAGTATACCCCGCCCCCACCACCACCACCATCAAATCGGTAAGTTACTGGCCCCCACCAAAATCAGTATACCTCCCCCCCTACCCCCCCCCCCCCCCTCCCCACCACCACCACCAAAATCAGTATAATCTCACTTTCACCACTGAACCAAATCAGTAAGTGAACACTTATACCCCAACCGCACCCCACCATCAAAACCAAATCAGTAAGTCAGCTTTAGTACATGCATCATAATTGACCAAACATAAAACAAAATTGGTTAGTCAACTGCCCCCAACTAAAACCAAAAAAGTCATTCAACTTTATTATCATAATAAAATGAATAAGAATTTCTTATGTCCAAGCCTGTAAATAATTTATAGCCTCTATAAATTAATGCCATTCTATAGCGGTGCCAAGTGTGGTGTAAGAAGATTGGAGATTTTTTTATTTATTCAATTATTAGATCATACGTTGTCTGAAAATTATCAGAATTATCTTTAAATTGAAGTTTTAATTGAGGATGTATGATTTATATTTCTTCAATTTTTAGGCCATTTTCAAACCCCGAGATGCCCTTATGTCCAGAGCAAACAGTCTGAAAAAAGCAATTCGCCAAATTATAGAACATACAGAACGAGGTGAGTAAAATCATAGAACATACGGAACGAGGTGAGAAAATCATAGAGCACACAGAACGAGGTAAGAAAATCAGCATACAGAACGAGGTGAGAAAATCATAGAGTATACAGAACGAGGTGAGAAAATCATAGAGTATACAGAACGAGGTGAGAAAATCATAGAACCTACAGAACGAAGGTAAGAAAATCATAGAGCATACAGAAGTAGGTGAGAAAATCATAGAGCATACAGAAGTAGGTGAGAAAATCATAGAGCATACAGAACGAGGTGAGAAAATCATAGAGCATACAGAACGAGGTGAGAAAATCATAGAACATACAGAACAAAGTAAGAAAATCATAGAACATACAGAACAAGGTGAGAAAATCATAGAACATACAGAACAAGGTGAGAAAAATCATAGAACATACAGAACAAGGTGAGAAAATCATAGAACATACAGAATGAGGTGAGAAAATCACAGAACATACAGAACGAGGTGAGAAATGTATATTCTCTATAATAACCAAATCATAGAACATACAGAACGAGGTGAGAAAAATCACAGATCATACAGAATGAGGTGAGAAAATCATAGAACATACAGAACGAAGGTAAGAAAATCATAGAACATACAGAACGAGGAATATATATCCTTCATAACCAAATTATATAAATCACTGAACAATGGAACTGAGGTATCTCCATAGTAACAAAGTCCTAAATAAGGAAAGACATTTGCTAACATTCAAGCTCCTCCTTAGAAACCTCAATAATTCAATGACCTAGTCCTAAATTTTTTTCAAATTAGTATTCATTATACTGTCAATTTTTTTAACACAAACATATATGCAGTATGCAGATTTTAATGGCATTAATAAATCTTCTTAACTACAGCTGTTGATGAACAAAATGCCCAGACAGAGGAACAGTTACAGAGACTGACGGAGTCACCGCTGTACAAGGCCGACAGTACAGAGGTACTGGAGGAGTCCACCACACGCAGAGGTCTGCAGGCAGACTTAGAAACCTCTAGATCCGCTCCTACATTCTCCATATTCACACTGGAGGCAGCTCCCAAAACTCCCATATCAAATCCCAGAAACCTAGGTAAATAAAATATTTACACTGGAGGCAGCTCCTAAAACTCCCATATCAAATCCCAGAAACCTAGGTAGATAAAAACACCTTGTCTGCTACACACCAGCTACTTAAAACAATGTAAAATCATACATCATTTGGTGAAGTTACAGAAAATACATGGTATGATGACCTAGGTCATTTCAGTAAGAAATGAAGGCCATTTTCATGATATTTTTCTTAAGCAAAAAATTAGATAATTTTTTCTTTGCGATATGTTATAGAAGTACATGTACGAGGGTCATTCAAAAAATACGTAGACAATGCTTCTCATCGTCATATAATTATTACAAGATTATAGATCAACACATTTTCGTAAACATAAACATTTATTTTGTCGAAGTGTGAAGTTTCATTCCATTTGATTAAATAGAACTCATGTTAGCCAGAATTTAAACCAACATGTTTTGTTACCACGGAGCACGGTTAACCCACATTGTAACGTCAAAGACAACGTTGAGAAAGTTTGTCAAAATTATACTAATTTTCTTAATTTCAAACTCGGTTTGTAGCGTATTCTTCATTTTAAAAAAACATATCCATAACACTTAACACCTAGTTTGCAAACAATTGTACAAATATAGCTTGAATATAGCTTGAATAAGAATGTCATTGTTTCCAAATTCTTTAATTTACCATGTAGCTCTATTGATTCTGCAACAGTGAAGCACACATCACGTTCAATGACGTTCCTAACTCTTTCGACAATATTTTTAACTTTAACCTGTTTCTTTGCAGACAATCCATCGTCCGATTCAAACTCGCTACCACTCAAAAATTGTATTTTCCATTTAATACAAATACACAGATTATTTTTCATACAGATCCTGATTTATACGGATTTTTAGAGCTTGTAGAAGAAGTTTCCCGAATGTGAAGTACAATTTTATTGCTACTTGCTGTTCCGTGACGTCCTCCAACGTCATGGTTTTTTGCTTTTTTTAATCAAGTCCATATGTATTTAGAAACTGATATCTTTTAAATGGAGCGACATATTACATAACCTGATTTCATTTTAATTAATACAGCAATACTTTATTTAAACATGTAAATTTTATTTCGTTTCAGCTCCATTTATTAGAGGTATGGCTGTAAATACTATAAAGTGAAAATTAGTAAATTACTCAATTTTGACGGTGCTCCTTGACCCCATTTTTGCTGTTCTAAATCTTTGATAATTTCTATAAATATGAAGATGTATTCCTTTTTTGGCTCAAATTATTTCAATTTTTTGTTAAGATATGTGTTCCAAATTTGGATATAATATGACGTTAAATAGAAAAGTTAGGACAAAAGTCTACGAACTTTTTGAATGACCCTCGTACTATAATAAAAGGAGCTAGTGCCAAATTTTTTTCAACTTTATACAAGATTGTTATAGAAGTACATGTACTATATTTAAATGAAAGTGCTTATAATTTTTCATTAGAGTACATGTTTACATTAATTGCTATTAACTACATGTACAGTATGTTTGTTAGAAGTGCATATACTTTATTTCAAGTGCTAATTATATTTCGTTAGAAGTTCATGACTGTACTATATTTATTAATGTTAACTGTCTTTCCGTGACTTCAGTCCACATGGACCCTAACCTGAACGTGAAGGACCTAGATTCCGGGGCCTCCAGAAGAATCAGCAGTATGAGCATGCTCAATAAAACCGCCAGCGTGGGGTCCATACTTGGTCAAGACAAAAGTCCGCTAAAGGAACACAGCGCTCCACTGTTTGGTGTACCCTTCCACACCGTCCTACCAGGTACACATTATATTATATAATATTATAGAAAACAACACAATTATTATTTGAAATGCTTGTTGATTTAAATCTTTCATTATTTAAATTGATAGCTGCAATGACAGATTGAAAAAATACAAGACAATTTTTTCTGCATATATTGTGTCATTTTATTGTAGTTATTGTCTATTTAATTATAAGCACTTGTAATGTTTGGTTTTGTTGTAGGTTTAAACAGTAACATTGCGGGGAAGTTGGCTGGCGGGAGTTTTATCAGTAAGGTCCTGTTGGCTAACGCTGACGCTCTCTGTGCCGCGGCGTCACCACTAGTAGAGGACGATATACCAGCGTATGTATAGTGATACAGCAATGTCGTACTTAGAAATAAAATAATTAAAATATTGGTACATGTGATAACTTGACTGTGGGTGGAGAGGGGGGTTGGCATACAGTTTAATATGAAGAATACAAAATCGTTTTGCGAGTACATACATGTATGAGAGTAAGACATGTTTTATTTTACAGGACTGAATACACTGAGCGCTGTGTTATGAACAACTATTTTGGGATTGGGTTGGATGCCAAGATCACTTTAGATTTCCAGAACAAACGAGATGAACACCCTGAAAAATGCAGGTCAGTAGAAGCTAAATGACATTGTCATTGTTTCCCAGCAGTGTTTTCCCTAAGAACCGGCTACCGGCAAAATTGACCACTTCAGTTGACAAATATGCCGTTTGAAATAAAAATTTGTTGTAAGATCCATAGAGATTCTGATCATTAACCTCTACCCCTAGCCTGTTACAAATGATCTCTAACCCTTTACTTTGAAATAAAGGGAAAACACTGTCCCAGGTGCTTGTTATGCTTTATAAGTGATGCTTGATCTGGAATGTTTCCCCTTCAGGAGTCGAACAAAGAACTTTATGTGGTACGGTGTGTTAGGAGGTAAAGAGCTGGTTCAAAGGTCATTTAAGAATCTGGATCAGAGGGTACAGTTAGAGTGTGACGGTCAACGGATCCCCCTCCCCAGTCTGCAGGGAATCGTTATCCTCAATATTCCAAGGTATGTGTTACTCTGGCTGAAGAAAGAATATTCATATTGATATTTAGATGTGTTCTATAATTCCGTCGAACCATTGAATTCTGTCTTATTTCATTACAGTTACATGGGTGGTGCCAACTTTTGGGGAGGAAAGAAAGAAGATGATGTGAGTATAATTAAATAAGATAAACTTTTATAGAGTACAGTGTTTGTAAAGTAATGTAAACTTGGAAATGCATGCATGCTGTTCAAAACTTAGAATAAGGGGGTAGAAATCATTCTTATGAAATGTGTACCAAGATACTGGTATGTTAGAATTTTCATGCAAAAGATTTGTGATAAATTTTCTTTGATTATTTTCTTTCAATCTGCTTTTGGAAGGTTTCCATTCAAGTCACAAGAAGGTTTCATCTTTAATTTTTTTTTCAATGGAACATTAATTAATTGTGTCAAATTCGCTAACCAGAAAGCAATGGTCATTCAGTGTAAAGTTACACAGCATATTGTCTTGTTTTTTACAGACATTTCAAGCCCCGAGCTTTGATGACAAGATTCTGGAAGTTGTGGCTGTGTTTGGAAGTGTTCAGATGGCCATGTCACGAGTGATAGACATTCAACATCACAGGATAGCACAGGTACAGTTATATATATATACTCCAGCTTGTTAGTTCCTTGTTACTGTTAAGATTTCTTTCTTTGCTATAAGGAAAACTTTGTTGGTTAGTATAAACAATGTTGCAATATTTTTCAGTGTCGTCGTGTAAAAATAACAATCATGGGGGATGAAGCCGTTCCAGCTCAGGTAGATGGAGAGGCCTGGATGCAGCCCCCGGGGTACATTCATATCGTCCACAAAAACCGGGCTCAGATGTTAACCAGAGATAGGGTAGGTCTACTTTAACTTCATTAATGCAAGGTAATGAATGAAAATATACATGATCACTAAAGATTTTGAGATGAGAAACCTACTGTTTATAGAAGTTTTTCTTTTCTTACTGTAGGTGTTTGAGAACACGCTGAAGTCGTGGTCAGAGAAACAGAAGGAGATTGAGCGGTCAGTCAGTCCACAGCCCACGTCTCTCTCCGAGGAGGAATCTCTAGTGTTACAGAACTTTGTGGAGGTCGCGTCGTCACTCATCAAATGGTAAGTCATAAACAGGGCTCGACATTAACGCTTGTCCGCTTGTCCAGTACCAGTGGAAAAAAAAAATACGGACAAGTGATTATTGCTGGGCACTTGTCCGATTGGACAAGTGCATTTTTATGTAAAGGATTCTCTAAATAATAAAAAGAATGACTGTTGAAAGCTAATCAGAATTTTCAAGACAGAAGCTGTACATAAAAACCAGAATTCGATCCCGATATTTATCGCTATATTAATTGAGTTCACATTCGATCGGGATCGAACTTCACTAATTGCATACTACCGAAAGTCGTGGAAGTTACAAACCAAAGTGTGGATTCTGTTTGATGTTGACAGGTTCACTTGTGGACATTTACCTTATTGTCAGGACAGAAACCCAGATTAAATTTCGTGTTATGTGTTTTTAGCTCACCTCAACGAAGGTGGGGGAGCTTATGTAATACCCTCGGCGTCGGCGTCCCGGGTTAAGGTTAATTTTTTTGGAGCAGTTTTCTTTTTAAGTACTTCTATGTCCTATATTGATTAGACATGCATGGAATATGCTTCTAATGTGTTTCATTGTACCAGTCAAAGTTTCAGATGCTGCAATTTCAGCAAAGGAATGACCAGGTTAATGTTTTTGGAGCAGGTTAACATTTTTGATGCAGTTTTTGCTGTAGGTCTCATTTTCAAGGAACTATAAGCCCTATGTTGACCAAACTTGCATGGATGATACATCTAAGGATGTACAATATCAGATTTGCTTCAGATGCTGAATTTGACCTACATTTTCCGGTTGAGTGAACAGGTTAATGTTTTGGTTGCAGGTCTCATTTCCAAGTAACTATAAGCCCTATGTTGACCAAACTTGCATGGATGATACATCTAAGAATGTACACTACCAGACTTGCTTCAGATGCTGAATCTGACCTACATTTTACTGTTGAGTGAACAGGTTAATGTTTTGGGTGCAGGTCTCATTTCCAAGTAACTATAAGACTTATGATGACCAAACATGCATGGATGATACATCTAAGGATACACATTACCAGGCATGCTTCGGATGCTGAATCTGAGCTACATTTTCCGGTTGAGTGAACAGGTTAATGTTTTTGGTGCAGGGTTCATTTCCGAGATACAATGAACCCTATAATTACCAAACTTGCATGGATGGTACATCTTAGGATGCATACTACCAGACTTGCTTCGGATGCTGAATCTGACCTACATTTTCTGTATGAGTGAACAGGTTAAAGTTTTTGATGCAGGATTCATTTTCAAGTAACTGTAAGCTCTTTAATGACCAAACTTGCATGGATTATACATCTAAGGTTGCGTTCTACCAGGCTGGCTTCAGATGCTGAATCTGACCTACATTTTTTTCTGGATGAGTGAAGAGGTTAAATTTTTATGCAGGTTTCATTTCTAAGTAACTATTAGCTCTATGTTGTGCAAACTCGCATGGATGATACATCTTAGGATGCATACTAATGGACTTGCTCCGGATGCTGAATTCGACATACATTTTCCAGATAATGGACCAGGTAAAAGTTATGGGTGCAGGTCTATCACCAAGAAACTATAAGGCTTTAATCAAATGATGCATCAAGGGATGAAAACTCTTAAACTTGCTTCAGATGCTGGATTTTGATCACATTTTCGTGATGAAGAACTAGTTTGAAGTTTTTATATAGGTCTATTCAAAAGTATCAGATCAAAATTGCATAAATTTAACATTTTGGAGGTACACTTTTTGTTGGGTAATTGTGTGACTTTGCCCTACTTAAAGACAACATTCGTTGAGGTGAGCTCTGTAATCTCTGATTACCTATGTTTGTATTTATCAATAACATCACGAATCAATCAAGCACATGACATGTGTAATGGACTTGATTTTTAGTTTTCAAGTATTAGATCTTGATTAGTTGATTGAAAAATTTTCGGACAAGTGAAGTTGAAGTTTGGACAAGTAAATGTTTTGGTCACTTGTCCGAATTGACAAGTAGGAAAAAAAGTTATTGTCGAGCCGTGATAAAGGTCACATTGTCACTAATCAAATGGTAGGTCAGAGTCATTCAAGTCGCAGCATCATCACTCATCAAATGGTAAGTCACTTGTAAAGGACACATCAGCACTGATCAAGTAGGAAGTCACACTCATAAAAGTAGCATCAACACTCATCAAGTGGCAAGTCAGTGGTTAGTCAATTTAAGCACAGAGCAGTCTTGAAATGATCACTACAACAACACAGTAGTTTTTTGGCATAATATTTTTGCCTGAATATTATGTTAATTTTTAGCTCTACTGGTCAGAGACCAGAAGAGCTTATGCGATAGTAATGCGTCCGGCATCCGTCCGTCCGTCTGTCTGTCTGTCTGTCTGTCCGTCTGTCTGTAAACAATTTTTCAAAACGCTACTCCTCCTACAATTTTAGTCTGATTTCAGTATAACTTGGCACACAAGTAGACTACACTAAGATACATAAAATAGTGCATCGGTTTTTGATTTTGATGAATGGTGTTGCCATGGTTACTAAAAATAGAATTTTCTGAGAAATTCCTTTAAATCGCTACTGCTTCTACAGTTTTGGTCTGATTTCAATATTACTTGGCACACAAGTAGACTACACTAAGATACATAAAATAGTGCATCGGTTTTTGATTTCGATGAACGATGTTGCCATGGTTACTAAAAATAGAATTTTCTGTGAAATTCCTTTAAAACGCTACTCCTTCTACAGTTTTAGTCTGATTTCAATATCACATGGCACACAAGTAGACTACACTAAGATACATAAAATAGTGCATCAGTTTTTGATCTTGCTGAACGATGTTGCCATGGTTACTAAAAATAGAATTTTCTGTGAAATTCCTTTAAAACGCTACTCCTTCTACAGTTTTAGTCTCATTTCAGTATAACTTGGCACACAAGTAGACTACACTAAGATGCATAAAATAGTGCATCGGTTTTTGATTTCGATGAGCGGTGTTGCAATGGTTACTAAAAATAGAATTTTCTGAGAAATTCCTTTAAAATGCTACTCCTTCTACAGTTTTGGTCTGATTTCAATATTACTTGGCGTGCAAGTAGACTACACTAAGATGCATAAAATAGTGCATCGGGTTTTTGATTTCGATGAACGATGTTGCCATGGTTACTAAAAATAGAATTTTCTGTGAAATTCCTTTAAAACGCTACTCCTTCTACAGTTTTAGGCTCATTTCAATATCACATGGCACACAAGTAGACTACACTAAGATACATAAAATAGTGCATCGGTTTTTGATTTTGCTGAATGATGTTGCCATGGTTAATAAAAATAGAAATTTCTGTGAAATTCCTTTAAAACGCTACTCCTTCTACAGTTTTAGTCTCATTTCATATCACTTGGCACACAAGTAGACTACACTAAGATGCATAAAATAGTGCATCGGTTTTTGATTTCGATGAGCGGTGTTGCAATGGTTACTAAAAATAGAATTTTCTGAGAAAAGCCTTTAAAACGCTACTCCCTCTACAGTTTTGGTCTGATTTCAATATTACTTGGCACACAAGTAGACTACACTAAGATACATAAAATAGTACATCGGTTTGATTTCGATGAACGATGTTGCCATGGTTACAAAAAATAGAACTTTCTGTGAAATTCCTTTAAAACACAACTCTTCCTATAGTTTGGGTCTCATTTCAATATAACTTGGCACACAAGTAGACTACACTAAGATACATAAAATAGTGCATCGGATTTTGATTTCGATGAACGATGTTGCCATGGTTACTAAAAATAGAATTTTCTGTGAAATTCCATTAAAACGCTACTCCTCTACAGTTTTAGTCTCATTTCAATATCACATGGCACACAAGATGACTACACTAAGATACATAAAATAGTGCATCGGTTTTTGATTTCGATGAACGATGTTGCCATGGTTACTAAAAATAGAATTTTCTGTGAAATTCCTTTAAAACGTTACACCTTCTACAGTTTTAGTCTCATTTCAATATCACTTGGCACACAAGTAGACTACACTAAGATGCATAAAATAGTGCATCGGTTTTTGATTTCGATGAGTGGTGTTGCAATGGTTACTAAAAATAGAATTTTCTGAGAAATTCCTTTAAAATGCTACTACTTCTACAGTTTTGGTCTGATTTCATTATCACTTGGCACACAAGTAAACTACACTACTTTACATATAATAGTGCATCGGTTTTTGATTTCAATGAACGGTGTTGCCATGGTTACTAAAAGTAGAATTTTCTGTGGAATTCCTTTAAAATGCTACTCCTTCTACAGTTTTGGTCTGATTTCAATATAACTTATCACACAAGTAGACTACACTAAGATACATAATTCTGTGCATCGGTTTTTGATCAGTACAAACCAGTAGAGCTACAGTCTCGATAGAGACTTCTGGTTAATTGAAGTAGCAACAGTATCTTTGTTTCATTACATATCAGCATGAGTGTATGATGTCTTAATTTTTGTCTTCCATGACTAAATTTTAAGTAAAATACATATACATTCAATTTAAAAAAGAAATTCATGAAATGTTGTTGTTAAGAGTTTCTGACAAATATATTTTTTATTGTAGTGTGAAGATAGCCTCCTTAAACTATAGTGCTGTAGAACAAGAGTTATTCCCCCTTGCTACACAGGCATCTGAATACATGGACCGTTTGTTTCCAGCAGGAAAATTAGCAGAGGTATGAAGCTTCCATGTAACATAGAATAAAAAGCTTACAGTCATAGATTTTATTACCTGTTGGGATTCACGATACATATCGGTCTTCTCAAAAAACTTCTTCCAGTCTTTTTGAATATTTATACTTCCCTGCATCATTTTTTCTCAATAGGCACAGGTATCTTTCATAATGTTTGAAATTATAAGCCTGATCTTTCCCAAATGAACTTCATAATTTCAATTCATTGAATGTTTTCTTTTTTCTGAAAGTATTGGTAGACTTTTTTCATTCATTGTTTTGTTAACAAAAAAAAAAAACTCATGTATGTAAGATACATATAGGTGAAAACTGTAATTTAAAAATTTTCATTGATAATGTGTATTCCCATAAATTTGACCTCCTGTTTAAATGTGTGTGGTTCTTGTCGTAGATGGAGGCGGGAGAAATGGAGTCGTATCAGGTGCTCTGGGTGTTGTCTGTCTGTCTGTCTTAGCAAACCCTATTGTCTCTCAGTTTTCCAGTTTTCTTATTTTCTCAGTTTTTTCCATTATTTTCCTAGCTTTTTGTCTACTTCTTTTTTCCTTCAATTTTCTGTTTTTAGCTTTATCACAGACCAAAAACATTTAGATCCAAAAAAGTAAGATGTCAAAATATAAGTGTATTCAGATATCTCACTAGATTACTTTTACATTTGATGAAGTGAAGTGTTCTGTAATAATGTGTTTCTTTTTCCAACCTTACACCCTGTTTATACTTTGCTGATAATCAGTGTGTTGTGTGATATTCCTTTCTTTTTTAATTATATTACTATTATGACATCACGAAAATCAGTCAGAAGTAGTGATTTATACTAATTGATTTCACTTAAATCAACATGTATAGTTAATTTTAAATAATAACCCATGCTTTGTGTTTCAAGAATTACACAGAAAAACTTGTATTGACATGTTTATAATCAAAAGGGTATAATTTGGTTTAGGGTAGTCACTGGGGTGAAAAATAATTTTTTTTTAAATTTCACTTTGACTCAACAAATAAATTTATCAAACTCTTGCATATGCAAAATGAAAAATCATTTACTTTAACATCCCAGCTTTAAATCCATATTTCTTTTTTTGTTAAATATGTTGATATTGTACAATTTTAGTTAATTTAAAAAGATACTGTATACAGGGTTATTTTCGCCCCGTGTTATTTTTGCCCTTTTGCACTTGCAAACAATTTTGCCCATTTTAAATTCACCCTGTCATAGTTCTGTTTAAGAAATTCTACTATGTAATTTGAATTCGCCCCGTTTTAAATTCGCCCAATCGAGAAGACGGCGAAAGGGGCGAAAATAAAACGGGGGTGAAAATTTCCCTGTATACAGTAAATAAAATTGATACACATTTAATACTAGTAAATACAGTTACTTACTGGTCACAAATAGAAGCATTTCAGTTTGAATCTTTTGTACAAATTTTTAATTTTTTGATTTACTTTTAGCCGACTTTGAGGAGCCAGGTGATTGACTTTGTCCGCAGTGTCCAGCATCTGAACCACGACACGAGTAACTTCTTAACGGACAAAGCCGCTGTTGTGGTAAGATCTGTCATAGAAAATACAGCGCAGTGGGTTTACGTAAATCTCATTGCGAGTGTTCAATTTAAATTTCCTGGTTAGGTTCCCATTTCCAGTGTCTGCACAGGCAATTCATAAAGTTTTAAAGAGAAAATATATTTTCTTGTCATACAAGAAATCTTGATTTTGTGAAGTTTTTGAAACCTTTGCAAGCTCAGTGTTATTTCAGTCATTAGCCTCAGCCTTTATGAAATTCTCTTTATGTTGATTTTTGTTTCCTACTTCTTCAATAGCCTAAGCCTTTATGAAGTTCTCTTTGTTTTGACTTTTGTTTCCACACTCTACAGAGACTGGCACCTGATATATCAGAACGTCTGAACGCTGCACTGGCTCACCTAGAAGTAGAGTTACAGAAGATATGCCAGGTCTGCGGAATTAACTCGACATTCCAGTACGACCCCTCACAGATCGCACAATCACAAGAGGAGGTAGGCAGCACTAGTCCCAATCTGTAATCTTCTCCTTTATTGTGTCAAAATGTAGCATATACCCAAAAAATACGTAATAATCCATCAAGACCACGTGTTTTTATTACTGTAATTTTGACTCATTTATCCTTAAAGTTAGACTTCCGTGAACTAGAGACTCGTTCCGTAGTATTTTTACATTATAATTTGGTTCATTTATCCGGACGGTAAATTTTAATTTGTACTTCCACTCTTGTCAACATTCACGCCTGAACTGAGTGACAAATGTTATCAAAACACTGGCCGGATTGATTGTTTTTACAAGACGATCACCTGTGACCTGTTATGAATGACTTACGATAATTAGTCCACAGATTAAGCATGCTAAGTGGATATGGTCATAATATACGAGAGATCGATACACAAATGAAAATAAACAATTAACTGTGTCGGTAACAGAAAAGAATTTTCTATTCAGTTATTTTCTTATCTGCGAGATATTTATAATTTTAGTACAGAGCTGTGTGAATTTAACATGCAAATTGTGTAATTTTCATCTTACTTGGTAGTTATCATCAAAAAATAAAAAACAAAACCTAAAACATTCAATCAAATTGAATAATTTTAGACAATCAATGATTTGTTTTCTCTTTAGTATGTTGATTCCAAATTAAAATTAGACTCGAACTCGATATTGACGGCTCGCTTGGGTGTAATCAAAGCTGCAAAAGAGAGAATTTGCTTGGCTATGTTCAGCAAGTAGAAAGTAAAAATAAGGTTATATCCAATGTTTGTCATTCTGCTCTCCAGCTACAAAAGAGCAAAGAGAAGCAATACATTCCAAGATTTAAGGCAGTTTGTTATTAAGAAAATTACCATTTTAAAATAATAAATTATTACTTAGTATTTATCTTTCTTTATATATATAAGAGTTACAATACAAATACAGTATTAGAAGAGAAATCAATATTTTCCTCATTATCAAATGCATTAAATAAGAGTAATATGGTAGGAAAACAACTGTTTGAAAAAAAAATTGTATCCAATTAATGGTACTCCCTAATATATTATAAAAAGTTCAGCATATGACAAAATAAAATGATACTGAACAAAAGTGTTATATTTCAGCGTACATTGTGTATAACTGGACTCCAGAAGACGTGGGACAGTGGCTGGAATCGCGCTCTCTGGCCGAGTATAAAGACTCCTTCATCAGGAACGAGATACGAGGCACGGAGTTACTTACCCTTGATAAGGGAGATTTACAGGTAAGGGATCCCTACAAATAGTACTCAGAAAATAAAACACCCTTACAAGGAAGAATTATAATACCTACAGAGAAATGATTTCCTTTTCAGTGACTTTAAAATTAAAATATATTATAAACTTAGCAATAAACAAATAACAATTATGACAAAGGAAGTTTGTCTGTCCTTAGTACTATTTCATGAGTGAATCTTACTTCATATAGATGTCAATAGAATTGCTTAAGGAATCAAATTTGCACATCCCTTGAACTTGGCCATTAGTGTGTTTTACTGTATCTAAGCATTGAAATGTTACATTCAAAGCATTGTCGTATCTTAGTATAATATAGTGGTACTATTGGGCTGTATACCTAGAAGATACAGACCTGTACATCTTACATTCTTAGCATTGTCGTATCTTAGTATAACATACCGTTACTATTGGGCTTTATACCTACAAGACTCGGGCCTGTACATCATCTGTTTGTTGTTTGTAGGATCTGGGAGTGACTAAGGTTGGACACCTGAAGAGAATTCAGCAGGGAATCAAGGAACTGAACAACCGAATGACGGCGTACGATAAATCGCTGGTGTTCGACAAGAATTCCTCCTGACACCGTTACTAATTATAGAACTTAACAACCAAATGACGGCGTACGATGAATCGCTGGTGTTTGACAAGAATTCCTCCTGACACCATTACTAATTATAGAACTTAACAACCGAATGAAAGCATACGATAAATCTCTGGTGTTCGACAAGAATTCCTCCTGACACCGTTACTAATTATAGATCAAGAGAAGAACGTTTATCTCTCCTTTATTGCCTTTTTTTTCTAATTATTTATATTTTGACTTCTGCATTTAAGGATTTTTTTTTTTACATGACATCTGGGTCTCAGTAGAGAGAGGTATACGTTGACAAAACAGGGTATGTGAAGCTTCTCAGAGGACGACTGATTAAATTCTAGAATTGTTGTTTAAATTTGTTTTCCTGCTCAGCCAGACGATCGATACCAAAGATGATTAGTGCTGAGCCGGAGGTTCGTTATCTCTTATTGGTGCTTATGGTTGTCTGGAAACAAGATCAACCCAAAGTTTATTTTTAGTGCTTATGTAATGAAGCATGTGTCAGGGTTTTTTTTGTGTCAATCAGAAGGAATAAAATCAATAATTCTTGTTGCCATAAACTGTCTTTTCAGTGTATTATATATTTTTTTTCTAACTATGATGTACTTAAATAGTAGTGGAATTTTAACATGTTGAGCATTAAGTTGGATACAATTGTCTCCCTCTCTTGAGAAATGTAGGGGGCAGGCCTCCATACTTGTGTTACCACTGTTTACATATTTTATCTTGCCTAAGTCTTTCCGATTGTCCACAACCATAGTGTAATACCTCTGTATGTGACTGTGTAGTGTGTAGTCGGTACTGCATCTGTTGACTGTCATGCTAAATCCTACAGAGATCTGTAAACCAGGCAGACTCGTCTTAAAGCCTTATAACGCTGATACATAATGATATAATATCATACATTTGGCATATTCTGCATCATGAAACTATTTTTTGATTTTGCAACGGGATAAATGTTACCAAAATTGAAATTGTGAATATTTTGAATTCCCTTTCTTCAGAAAAACAAGAAAAAATTGATCGATCTGTTTGATCAAATAACATAGATGTAGATTTTTGTCAAGAAACTTTCTCTTGGTATTTGCACTTGATAATAAGTTCCTTTGATTCCTGTGGAATTTCTGGAGAAGATGAACAACAACAAATGCAGTATATTTTTGTCCATTTTTACATTTTTATATGTAATAAATGTAAGTGTTTTTTTTTTCTTGTTATTTATAACTCATGTCTGCAGATTAACTAGTAAATTTTGGATAATGTTGATATATTTTGTACAGTTTTTTGTATTTTTTTATATATATTTCTTGTTTAATGCACCAGCTCCCGTTCCTATGACATAGATCTTCCATGTTACATACGTCTTTTGTTCTTCCATCATCCATCTCTTATACCACCTGTTTGCACAAATCCTGTCTTATGTATCTGACAATTTATTCATGGCAATATTTCTGTTCAAGTCTCCAACTGACTTTTTCCATCTTTTGCCAGCCATATTTTTTCTTATCCAATCCACTGTTCACAAACCCTTGATCTAATCAAACAATTTTTTTTTTTTTGAGAAATGTGATTGGTCTTGGTGTTGACCTGTTCAACCAATCAGCAAGAATGTAACAAAGCAGTAATCAATGACAGTATCTAGATACAGATTTTTTTCTTGACAGTGTGTTTCAGGGAATAAAAAGCTCATTTAAACAAATGATTGTGAGATAAGGAATCTTGGCCACTCTAACTGAATTTGACGTGGGTAGAGTGTGACCCAGTACATTGTATATGTATTGCTGATTATTATGTTTTACAGCCCATTGATCTTATTTTGATCCTTCTTTGCTGAATGTCAATATCAAAATGCACTTTTATTTTCATCTAATGCATCCAATGCATTCTGTGTTTTCCAATATCATAGTCCTCAACATTAATTGCTGTGTTAGGTCTAGAGTTTGTTAAACACTCTTTGAAAACACTTGGCTCCCACTTTCTGATGAAGATTTTAATTATCATTCTTTGATGGGTCACATGTATCCCCTTCATTTTATATTTAACATGTAATAGGATTCAGAATACCTAACCAAAGAACACACACCATAACAGGAAACAATACTGTGTAGCTTTAAGGAAATTGCTAACAGCTTTCAATTTTATCAATAATTACTATCTGTATATGTTGAACTTGATACAAAATATACTTGTTTACTATAGCTGGTTCAGAGTAGGATTGGTTTAATGCTTTATTTTTCTCTCAGACTTTTTTTTGCAAAAACAAAAAGGCCTCTTGTTTGCAAAATATATCTATGTCCAAAAATGAGGTTCATCTGTAAAGACAAAATTGATAGATGTTGCTCATGTGAATAAAGTTTTGGCAGAATTCAGAGGTATCACACCATTCTTCATGACATTTGAAAACTCTTGTCATCTTTTGCAGTTTACTTTAAAGAAATGTAATTTTCTAAAGTACTGCACAATTTCACTGCTTTTGAATTTTTAAACCATTTTATAAGTAAAGTTGTAATATTGACTTTTCATTAGACATTTACCAACTCTAGTATATATATCTCAGAGAGGGTTGAATACTTTCCTGCCTCTGCTGTGAACTTTTCATGGATTCAATATACACCACCATCTATCTATATTAAGTTTCCCTGCTTATAACCTTCAATATGTACTGTAAACCAACTTTTATTAGCGTGCGAGAAATTTTCGCGAAGTTCGCGAGAGCGTCTTCATCGCAAATATTTCCCGCCGCGAACCGGTCGTGTAAAGCTCTGTGTCTATTGACCAGAAATCCAAAAATACTTGATCGCGAAAATTAATGGTCGTGAACTAGTTTATCCCCAATAAATTGCGAACTAAAGTAGTCGTGAATAAAAGTTGATTTACAGTACCCCCTCTACATGTATCTATACATGTATTGTAAACTTCCTTTCAGAACAGGATCCTGGGCACTTATTGTTTTAATAGAGTTGTAATTCACTGATTAAATGGCAAATACCTATCATATTTTACAAACATGGCAGGCCATCAGTATTCATACATTTTTTTTTCAATTTTTTGACACCATTTTGATATATGGACATTAGTGCCCATACATTATTTCAATTCTTGAATACATTTATGAAATTTTAATCATAACATTTCATGTATTTTATTTTTTGGTCACCAATCCATAAATTATTACCATATTTTGGATACCAGTATCCGTACATTCTTGTAATGTTTGGATGGTAATATCTGAACCTTATTTCAGGTCTTTTAAGATGCCATCTGTAACGAAACAAAAAAGCCTCTGGGTGTATATACTGTGTAACAGTAATCAAGTACTTTGTTATAAACGAAGACAAAATCATCCTTTTCTTTTTTTTCAAGTAGATTCTCTAAAAAAAAATTGAATTTTAGATACACTACTTTTAATGATAAAATGGGTGATTAGATAACAGTACAGAATTGCAAGGATGGAGACTTTATGAATTTAACTACAATTTTTTTGTCTTCTCGCTTGTTAAAACTATAAAAACCTTTGATAATTGTGGCCAAACTACAACTTCTTAACCAGTGACTGGACTGAGGTCTAAGTTTGCGTGTTGTTGCCTGCGAGTCTTAATTTGTCCTAATTCTGTTCCAAGTCCTAGACACAGTGTAGTTGTTAGACTCGCGTGCCATTATTCACAGATGGGCAATAACTGACCATTGTTTTACAATGGACTCCATCACTGGCTTATTGTTGACCATGACATCAGATGTGTAACGATCTTGATTCAAGGTCATCTCATCAAGGTTACAGGCTGAGGGGTAGGGGGGACAAGGGAGTAGAATTGAGGGAAGTCATTTGATTTTCTAACATCAGAATTCTTAGGGCACTTTCCTTTAGACCCTTGTGAGAAGTTGACAACTAAATCTTTTCCTCTCTGTAACTCCAGACTAGTTCAAATTACTAGTATTTAAGATCCCTGGCCACATGTTGACAATCTATGAATATTTTGTTAGCAATTGTGCTTCTAGAGCAATTTTGTTTACTAATCTTATAAATGTTATAATGTCAATTTCAAACAAACCATTCCTGTTATTTATAAAACCATACCTCTTTCATGTTTGGGTGATCTAAAGATTGACCAATCAAATAGTTTTATTTATTTCAGAATTCAATGTCATATTGTCATGTTTCATTTGTTGTGAACTTGATTAAATTTGTACACAAGAATTCACAGAGTCTGTATTTTATCACTTGGTTTACTAGCTGATCAAGGATGCACTCCAGTATATCCCTGTCAGTTTGATAAGGTGTATGTCTAAAGGACATGGGTAGATAAGGCAAGCAAAATGCCTTTTATTTAGACCAAAAAAGCACAAAGGTGAAGAAATACATCTTAATTTTACAAAGTTTTCTTTGAAATTTCATCTAAGAAATAAAAAAAACTTAACTGAAATCATAAAGATTTGAAATTATTTCCCTTTGAAATAGCATTAACACACGAAAGATAGCAAAAGTTCATTTTTTCATGGGTTTATAGAATATAATTTTGATAAGGATTCCTTGCTCCATTTTAATTTTTAGCTATCCCGAGCTGAAAGCTCAACTGAGCTTTTCTCATCACCTGTCGTCCGTCTTCCATCCACCCGTCTGTAAAGTTTTTCACATTTTCAATTTCTTCTCAAGAACCACTGGGCCGATTTTAAGCAAACTTGATACAAAGCATCCTTGGATGAAGGGTAGTTTAAATTGATAGAAGAAAGGACCAAGTCCCCTTCCAAGAGGAGATAATCACGAAAAGGCCAAAATAGGGTGGGGTCATTAAAAAATCTTCTCAAGAACCACTGGGTCAGAAAAGCTGAACACTTACATGGAAGCGTCCTGGCGTAGTGTAGATTCTAAATTGTTTAAATCATGTCTCCCTGGGGTAGGGGCAGGGCCACTATAGGGAATCCAATTTTTACATTGAAATATATAGGAAAAAAATGAACGAAAACATGCCGTTAAAATGGGACGTGTGGTTCGTGACTCTCAGTGATAAAATAGTTAATTCTTTAAGGTTTTAAACTGTTTGAATGGTGTGGAGAACTTTCATAATATATTACTCAGAAAAAAAAACCCCATTAAAACAACTCTCCGTTGACAACCTGTAGACAAAGAAACGTCTCTATATGAGCGAAAAATTCTCGAATGTGACGTTAAACAACATACAATCAATCAACCATGTACATGTATCTTATAGTCTAGTCATAACAAAGATGTCCATTTTGTTAGATTTTATTTGATGCAGTAAATTTTACATAACACGCATCACTTAACATGGTTCACTGATTACAGTTTTCCGTAACGGTTCACTGATTACAGCTCCGTAATAGTTCACTGATTACAGAAGGCTAGCGATGTTGCTCGGCATTTCCATAATCTCAGTGTTGTAAAACTTCTGTAGGTCTTCCAACTTCCGGTGATCTTCACTGGTTACGAAGTTGATGGCTGTTCCCTTTCTTCCAAACCGCCCACCGCGTCCGATCCTAAACAAGAAATTTAAAACATCAACACACACACTCACTGTCAACACTAATCATGGAAATGGCTCTTTGTAAGTGATTCAGTTTTTTTTTTAACATACACTTAAAAAATTAAATTGATTTACAACATCACACGCTTAAAAACCAAAAATGGTTGGAATAAAAATTTTCCTGTTGAATGCTGTTAAGTCTTTTTAAAATTGTTTATACACTGAAATACGACACAATGTTCAGTACCTGTGTATGTAGCTCTCCCTGTCCAAGGGAAGGTCAAAGTTGATGACCAGCGACACCTGCTGGACGTCTATTCCACGGCTCAGCAGATCCGTGGCGATCAGCACTCGGCTAGAACCGGTCCGGAAGCTGCGCAGTACGAGTTCCCGGTCTTTCTGGGACAGTTCAGCATGCTGGGTAAAAAAGAGGATAGAATGTCAACCACATTTCCCCCTAATCACTTTGATTAAAATAAGATGAAATTTTAATATTATGGTATTTAAGCGATATTTGTAGACTCCAAATTCCGATCTGTGCGTTTTGTTCGCTCATTCTTATCACAATAGGGATGGGGATGTTGTTAGAAAACCAAGTCTAATTACTTTCGACTTGAAGATGAACATTTCTACCCTCCCCCCCCCCCCCCCACACACACACAAATCGCCCCATGTAATACCGGGCTTTTCCCGCTCGAGTCTTACCATTGCAGACACGGTAAAGTCTCGTTTGGTCATTTCTTTCTCCAACCACTCCACTTTCCCGCGTTTGTTACAGAAGATGATGGTCGTCTCTACCGTGATGGTTTCGTAAATGTCGCACAGCGTATCCAGCTTCCACTCCTGTCAACCAAAACAGAGGCTAACAAATCGCATAAATCCAAACGCGATACTTGAAAAAGAGGAATAGAGAAATGGGTGCAGCTGAATTTACTGATGGGTAGACTATGATTTTGGAGTACAAACCTCTCTTTCAACATTAACGTAGAACTGTTGAATTCCCTGCAATGTCAGTTCCTCTCGTTTGACCAGAATACGTCTGGGATTTCTCATGAATTTGTCCGTGATGTCCAGAACCTCCGGGGGCAGGGTGGCAGAAACCAAAATCACCTGAAAAACAAGAGAGGTGTACGTTATTGTTGTACAGTTCGAGCCAATGCTGTGTCTTAAAATGATGTAACTGACAACATTAGAATGTTAATATAAGTATTGAAGTCCAACAGCTACCTGCACGTCCCTTGGTAAGTATTGGAAAGTGTCCTTTATTTGGTCCAGAAATCCCCTGGACAGCATCTGGTCGGCCTCGTCCAGAACAAACTGTCTTGTCGTATACAAGTCTGAAAAAGTGACGGATAAAATGCATGAGATTTAAAGAACAGGTAACTGTATATAGGGTAATGATCCTAGCTCAGACCTAAGTAACCAGGACAGGGAACTTGTATTTACCCAGATGTCTCTCACTCAGAAGATGTAGAATGCGGCCTGGTGTTCCTATGACTACGTGAACGCCCTCATGGAGCTTCTTGATGTCATTGGCCACGTGACTCCCGCCCACCAAGGCGTGGCAGACGACACCCATGTAGTCACCCAGCGCAGCCATCACACGCTGCGTCTGCATGGCTAGTTCACGGGTCGGAGCCAGAACAAGCGCCTGACAGCCCCTCACGTCAGGGTCTATTCTCTGGAGGATCGAGATGGAAAAGGTCGCTGTTTTGCCAGTTCCCGATTGTGCTTGGGCGATCACGTCATTTCCTTAAAAGATGAAACATAAAGACCTGATAAATGTTCAGACGTTTTCATGTAAACATATTTATTTAATGAGAAATGAGAGAGAGATAGATTACCAGTCAAAGCTATTGGAATGGCTTTTTGTTGAATCATGGATGGTTTCTCGAATCCGTAGCCATAGATTCCCCTCAGGAGTTGATCAGACAGTCCCATGTCGTCAAACTCGTCAGCCACGTCTGCCACGTCGTCATCCTGCTACAGAAAGGAGTAGCTTAAAATAGCAGTAAAGGGGCTACAGAAAGCAGTAGCTTAAAATAGCAGTAAAGGGACAGAAAATAGCTTAAAATAGCAGTAAATAGGGGGACAGAAAATAGTACATAAAATAGCAGTAAATAGGGGGACAGAAAATAGTAGCTTAAAACAGCAGTAAAGGGGCTACAGAATTTATGAGGAGTTCAAAATAGCAGTATAAGGGCTACAGAAATGAGTAGCTCAAAATAACAGTAAAGGGGCTACAGAAAGGAGTAGCTTAAAATAGCAGTAAAGCGGGGGGACAGAAAATAGTAACTTAAAATAGCAGTACAGGGGCTACAGAAAGGAGTACATGTAGCTTAAAATAGCAGTAAAGGGGCTACAGAAAGGAGTAGCTTAAAATAGCAGTAAAGGGGCTACAGAAAGGAGTAGCTTAAAATAGCAGTAAAGGGGCTACAGAAAGGAGTAGCTCTAAATAGCAGTACAGGGGCTACAGAAAGGAGTAGCTTAAAATAGCAGTACAGGGGCTACAGAAAGGAGGAGCTTAAAATAGCAGTAAAGGGGCTACAGAAAGGAGGAGCTGAAAAAAGCAGTAAAGGGGCTATAGGAAGGAGTAGCTTAAAATACCAGTAAAGGGGCTACAGAAAGAAGTAGCTTAAAATAGCAGTAAAGGGGCTACAGAAAGGATGAGCTTAAAATAGCAGTTAAGGGGCCACAGAAAGGAGGAGCTTAAAATAGCAGTAAAGAGGCTACAGAAAGGAGGAGCTTAAAATAGCAGTAAAGAGGCTACAGAAAGGAGGAGCTTAAAATAGCAGTTAAGGGGCTACAGAAAGGAGGAGCTTAAAATAGCAGTAAAGGGGCTACAGAAAGGAGGAGCTTAAAACAGCAGTAAAGAGGTTACAGAAAGGAGGAGTTTAAAATAGCAGTTAAGGGGCCACAGAAAGGAGGAGCTTAAAATAGCAGTAAAGGGGCTACAGAAAGGAGGAGCTTAAAATAGCAGTAAAGGGGCTACAGAAAGGAGGAGCTTAAAATAGCAGTAAAGGGGCCACAGAAAGGAGGAGCTTAAAATAGCAGTAAAGGGGCTACAGAAAGGAGGAGCTTAAAATAGCAGTAAAGGGGCTACAGAAAGGAGGAGCTTAAAATAGCAGTAAAGGGGCTACAGAAAACAGTAGCTTAAAATAGCAGTAAAGGGGATACAGAAAGGAGGAGCTTAAGATAGCAGGTCAGGGGCTACAGAAAACAGTAGCTTAAAATAACAGTAAAAGGGCTACAGAAAGGAGGAGCTTAAAATAGCAGTTAAGGGGCTACAGAAAGGAGTAGCTTAAAATAGCAGTAAAGAGGCCACAGAAAGGAGGAGCTTAAAATAGCAGTAAAGAGGCTACAGAAAGGAGTAGCTTAAAATAGCAGTAAAGGGGCCACAGAAAGGAGTAGCTTAAAATAGCAGTAAAGAGGCTACAGAAAGGAGGAGCTTAAAATAGCAGTACAGGGGCTACAGAAAGGAGGAGCTTAAAATAGCAGTACAGGGGCTACAGAAAGAAGTAGCTCAAAATAACAGTACAGGGGCTACTGAAAGGAGTAGCTTAAAATAGCAGTAAAGGAGCTAGCTTAAAACAGCAGTAAAGAGGTTACAGAAAGGAGGAGCGTAAAATAGCAGTTAAGGGGCCACAGAAAGGAGGAGCTTAAAATAGCAGTAAAGAGGCTACAGAAAGGAGGAGCTTAAAATAGCAGTACAGGGGCTACAGAAAGGAGGAGCTTAAAATAGCAGTAAAGAGGCTACAGAAAGGAGGAGCTTAAAATAGCAGTAAAGGGGCTACAGAAAGGAGTAGCTTAAAATAGCAGTAAAAGGGCTACAGAAAATAATAGCTTAAAATAGCAGTAAAGGGGATACAGAAAGGAGGAGCTTTAGTAGGTCAGGGGCTACAGAAAACAGTAGCTTAAAATAACAGTAAAAGGGCTACAGAAAGGAGGAGCTTAAAATAGCAGTACAGGGGCTACAGAAAGGAGTAGCTCAAAATAGCAGTTAAGGGTGAGGGGGTTAGAATATTTATCTAAAATAGGAGAAAATAACATACCTATAATAGCTGTGAAGTAAGAGAGGGGGTCACACAAAATTTGTATAATGAAAAAATGCCCCCCCCCCCCCCCTAAATTAAGAATCTACACTACTCCAGGATGGATCTTCAGAAGGGGATTTTTTAAAATAAAGATTTTTCTATGTATTTCAATTTTCAATGTAAAAAAATCCCTATTGTCGTTCCAGTTTCAAAAGAGTTTTAAATGACCACACCTTTTTTTTGTATTTTCTTGATTATCTCGCCTTGTAAGGGGGGTTAGGCCCTTTATTTTGATGTTTTCTTCACTCAAGGATGTTTTTCGATGACTTTGGTTAATTGACTAAAAATAAGGTTCTTGAGAAGACTGAAAATGTAAAAATTTTACAGACAGATGGATATAGACAGACAGACGGACAGAGGGTGATATGAAAAGCACACGGAGATTTCAGCTCAGGTGAGCTAAAAATGTTTAAAGAGTTTAATTCTGAAAGGGCGCGTAACATTTCATTTTTATACAGCGTATAGAATTCAGTATACACTTGTTTACAAATCAGGATGACGGACATCCCCATACCTCTTGTTCCACGTTAGTTCCTCCATTGTTAAGGATGTTGTCATCCTGTGGAAACTCAGACTCCGACCTGTGGAAGGAGATATCAACATTTATTGACCACAATAAAAATAAAATTCTAAATTAACCTTAAACGGGTTAAAGTTAAGAGGTTGTATTTTAATGTACCTGTCTTTCTTAAGTTTTTTTTTTCTCCAACGGATGGGAGAGAAGTGGGGTGGGGGTGGTGGGTTTAAATAAAAAGAAAAATTCACTACAGAAAAAAAATTCATTCTGGTCGACAACTCTCGCTTTCGCACCTGATTCAACCCTTAGAATTTCCAGTGGTCCGTTTTATGCCCATTTTACATTTTTTTTAAGATCGATCACCTATTGTAATCTTCACCTTTTATATTTATGACTCGACCTATCCCATACATGACTCTTCAAATAATAAGGAGATATATTTTTCGAAGTAGGCGGTTGCGGTAAGGATTCCAAAGAATTTTTAATAAACGTATACATGCACTTTTTTTTACCCTAAAAATCCGGACCGCCTCCCCCCTCTTTCCAATGGCCCCGCTTTTACCTTTTGATTTTGTATATAAATTAAACTTTCAACTTTTCATAGGAGTAACTTTACTAGATGTTAGAAAAGAACTTCACACAACGAATCTGCAAATAAATCCTCGAATATCCCCTTGGATTGTTAATTTCTGAATAGAATTTCTGAGCATTCAACATGTTCAATATGCGACATCAATATACAGTAGATACTCATGTTTTTCTAATCTAAAACCCTTTCTATTTTTAACATGACACCTAAATCTTACCAGTGGTCAGTCCCAGGTTCCGGTTTGGGGTGGGTCTCCTTGCCTGTTGTCTGGGGTCCCGGGGGACGAGCCCCTCCCTGCTCCCCGTTAAGCTCTTGGCGCCTGTCTTGGTTGTAACCGGGGGCTACCTCAACTTTCGATAAGCTCATTGAAAAATGTGCACAAAGTAAGACAATAAGGGTGTGTATTCATTTGTTGTCGAATTGGATATGAATTAATCATCTTGTATCTACAGTTTATATATCTAGGAGACGGGCGGGTATTGAGAAATGTACGTGTATTGTGGCCAATGGGATCACTGCGTTAAGTTATGCATTGAAGATGACGGTAATAATTCTATAAATAGACCATAGGTAATCATGGATCGATGCCAAGAAAAGCCGGTAACATCTGAATGTAGTAAATCTGATTTATGAATGAAGTATTCCAGTTGAGAAAATTAACGTACGAATATCAAATAAAACTCCATAAAGAGTCAACGAATATAACATCTTTCTATATTCTTTGATTTATCGCAGGCATTTATTGTTGTTTTTTTTAAGAGAGAAAAAATAATTGACCTCTATAATAAAATACTAAATAATAAACTAATAATAAAATCAATAATAATAGAGCAAGATACGTGTAAAAATAAATTTATAAAAAAAAAAAGAAACTTGAAAAAGTTTGCCCCCCCCCCCCCAGTCAAACCCCTTTCTCCCGTTGGTTTTTGATTTATCGAAATTACCGACATCCACTCTTACCCCTTTATTTTAATGAATTTAACTCCTCTTTACTGCAGTCTCGGATCCAGTTTTTTTTAATATTATTTTTTTTTTGCTAGGGGAGGGGTCCATCCAATTCCCCCACTTCCAAAAAAAAAAAAAAATAAATAAATCCCAAAACCTGTTGTCAAGCGGGAAAAAAAAAAACGAAACTCTGCGCTCAAGGCTCGCCTGAGTAAAATTATGGACTTTTCGATTAAAATCAGTTGATTTACAACACTGAAATTACATTTTTTTATTTTACCATTACAAAACCTTCATCTAAGTCAAACCTCATCATAATTAACTCAGTCGAGAAAAGACTCTCAACATCAAAGTCCATTATTATAGTCACAATGCTATTTTTCATATTTCTTTCTATTGAAGTGTACTTTAAAAATTTTGATTGTGAAAAATGTTAACACTCTTGGAAATGTACCCAGAAACTTTGCAGTAAGAACCCTAACCCTAAACCTGAATTTCTAAAAATTTTTAAAACATGCATCAAGCTGTAAAGGTTCAATTTTGCACTTTTCACAGACTAATGTGGCTTTGCAAAACATTATACTGAGCAAATATCACTTACACAGTGAAAGAGGCACACATTCAAATATAGATATTTGAATTTTGGGAGAAAAAAAGTTCGTATTCTTCATCCATTTGCTGAACATATTTATTTTCCATGGTCCTACTCTATACAACCTGATGAAGTCCAAGATGATAGGGAACAAGGATTGAAGAATAGTGCAATAAACATCAAAGTGAAAAACTGATGTGTTTTTGTTAACAGAAATACATGTATTCCAAAATTCACCAGAAGTTGTGTAGTACCGGTATTTTAAATAGCATGTCTCAAGCATAAATTAAATTCAGCAGATTTTTTTTGCTAAGTCTAACCCCACAATTACAACATAATTATTTTAAACTGATTTTTTCTGTTAAGAATTTTTTCTCTCAAAATATTTTTAATGATAATAATTTTCTAAATTCTAATAAGGAAAACTTGACTCAAGTACTAAATTCACAAGTGAATATGACTCTTTAAATCTTAGGATGTGGGCATTCTACATGCCTTGTACACCCACCTTCCTATAGCTGGAGCTACCATCATACCAAGATGACAAAGAAGACAAGTCTGATTTATAATTATAGAATTTTTTAATACACCTATTGCTTTCTCTCACATGACAAATAATATAAACATTCCTGTCAGAAGTCAGGGGGTTTACTGTCTCATGTGAATCTCTCCTGTTAGTCCACACACAGGGAGAGTCGATCTTCTCCAGCAATAGATGGCGGTACAATAATGTCCAGTGCATTGCCAACCTTTCTCTTGATGTCATATGAAACATGAAGATGGCTCTAATATAACTGTACAATAATGTTTAAACAAAGAAATTAGTAGTACTATACAAAAATCTGCACCAGAGCACTGCACTTTGCATGAAAAAAAATTAAAATTAAGCTTGTAGTTATATTGTATGAAAATTCTGATAAATCTTTCTTAATAAAGAAAGATAAACAAGAGCTGCTTTAAATTTCTAGAAATATAAATTAACAATTACAAAAAGCAGCAATATTACAGCACTTTCTCATACAAGGTCAACAGATTAAATAAAACGTTACGAGAGTTTCTGCTCTCCGTCACCACTCGATTCGGATCTTCTTGTCGACAATTCACATTTCATTAAATACTTTGAAAATTGATTTCGAGGAAATTGCACTGTAGAAATTCTCCACTAGCAGTAAGACAAGATATTCCGAAGTATGGCAGACTCTAAATCAGATCAGCTACGTTCATTGGCATTTCTTCAATCTGTGTATTGTAAAATTGTTCAATATCACGCAATGTCCGTACATCCTCTTGAGTGACAAAGTTTATGGCAACGCCTTTTCTTCCAAATCGTCCACCTCGACCAATTCTGTAAAATTTATCAAAGTTTATATCTATTTGTTCAATTCATTTATAATACAAATCAATGAAAACTCAAAAGCAAAAAGTAATCAGAGCTTTCTTTTTTTTTGAGTACAATCCTCTAGGATTAAATCCTTGAAATCAGAAATGATAATTTACCTGTGAATGTAGTTTTCTCTGTTGGCGGGCAGATCAAAGTTAATGACTAATGACACCTGCTGGACGTCGATTCCACGTGCCAGGAGATCAGTGGTGATTAGAACACGACTAGAGCCCGTCCTAAACTCCCTCATAATCACGTCTCTCTCCTTCTGGTCCATGTCACCGTGCTACAACAAAACGTAAAGTCAACTCCATACCAAACCTCTAAAATACACATCTACAAACTCTTATACTACTGGGGTAAGCTTTCAGAATTCAATATTCTACACAAGACTTCAGCAGAACGAAAGTCAAATAGATTTGTTTCATCATCTTCTTATCCCCTGTACTTGAATTCGTATCTGAATCGGGACTTACCATGGCCGACACAGTGAAGTCACGACTGAGCATTTTATCTGTTAGCCAGTCCACCTTTCTCCTGGTGTTGCAGAAAATGACAGCCTGAGTTATAGTCAAGGTCTCGTACAGGTCACACAGAGTATCAAGTTTCCATTCCTAGTCAAAATAGTGGAATAAAATACTGTTAGAACACCTTTAAACTTTGAATAACTTGTTGTAGCAGGTTTCATTAACTGCAGATAGACAATAACATACAATTTATATACTGATCAAGAGACATCCAGATTTGACTTACCTCCCTTTCCACTTGGATGTAAAACTGACGGATACCTTCCAAGGTCAATTCTTCCTTTTTGACAAGGATACGGATTGGATCCCTCATGAACTTTTTGGTAACATCCAGGACTTCGGCAGGCATTGTGGCTGATAACAGGATGACCTGAAATATAAGGGATTACCGTTACTTCACGTGCAAGGCCTACCCTACTGTCGAAGCAACCAGCCATTGTCAATACAAGGTCTACAATCTCAAAAGGTTTACAAGATGTCCCCTTGTAATTTTTATTGTCTAAATTCTTTTAGTTTCAGCTTCTATGTATATTTACCAATTAAATTAGCTGAGTGCGATATAATGTAGAAAAGTCTTCTTTTTCGCATCTTTGTCCATGAGAAACTTACACAGACTCAAGTACAAAGCTAAATCCCCCCCGACCCAATCTATGTTAACTTGTTCAAAATTCAATGTCCACTAATTTCTCTACATGCTAAATATAATATACAGTTATTATAGTTATTTAATTGCAGTGTACGAAACTCGGGAAAAAATCAGGTAGACCAGCAGGGCTGACTACTCAAAAAGTCTGTCAGCCCTGCTGAAAATTAGCAAGCCCGCATAAAAAATTCAATATTATAAATAAGGGTACACACACTCAGACTTAAACATTTCTTTTTTTTTTTTTTTTTTTTTTTTTTACATCCACTTGAATTTCATACAGTAATTTCTATGATTAAAATTTTATTCATTCAGTCATTGTTTACATAATTATAAAGTTAGGAAAAATGATATTCAATACAATATTAAATGCTAATCTGAAATACATGTCCTATGTTGTCGTTTTTTTTTTCTTCTAATTTTTACATTTGAAAACATTGATTATAAGATATCATAATTACATATGTATGGTCATGATATCTAATAATATCAACGTTTATAGATATATTCACATGTATATTTTAGATGTAATGAGATTGTTTGATTTTAATTTAAAAGAAAAAAATACAATTTTTAATCTCAGGTCACAGGCACTTGTTTCTGTAATAAATTTTTGACCCATAGTATAATAATAACACGTGTTATTATTATACTATGGGTCAAAAATTTATTACAGAAACAAGTGCCTGTGTCTCAGGTATAAATATTGTGATATGATTTAATATAACGCAAGTTAATTTTTGTTTTAATTAAAACAAATATGAGTTTAAACAACCATTGAATAAAAGCACAGAATGTTACCGTTACATGGAAGTTCATATTGTAAGCAATTGAACAGTGTTGAATTTTAGTACTCTAGGCTGACTATGTAGCTTTGTCTTTATAAACGGCATGATCATTGTGAAAATATTAATACTAATTAATACTTATAAATAAACACACTGAATGTGTTTGAATTCTGTCTGATCTTTTAAGTTAAAAAAAAAAGCACAATATACCAGTGGAAAGTTGAAAATATCGTTTCATGCGTGAAAACAGAGAAAATTCAGGTTAAAAGACGATGGTGGTGTTCTTCATATATTTACAGATTTATTGATCAGTTATTGTTCATTCCTTGTTGTCCCAGGAAATAATGCCTTGTATGTACATTGAAATATTTGGTCTTTACCAGCTCAAAAAATTTATAAATCTGTAAAAATGGAGGGGATGGGGTAAAATTAGTGCGTCCAAGCGGGCTGATGCAGAGTAAAGTTTATGCGTCCGCTCCCGATTTAGTACGTCTCGGGCGTGCGGGCGGACGGGAATTTCGTACACTGTTAATTGTTCAAAGAATATAGCCAAAAGCTTCA